TGTTACTGCACGTACGGAGACCGGGACGCGTGTGGGGGATGATGGCGCCGTATCGCAGCACCGTGATTGAACGATATGATATGTAAGGCCTCGGCCGGTACACCATCAAGATGAAGCAAGATGAAGTTGGACAGGATTGGGTAAGTAGAGCTGCAATCGGTGGGATGAGCAATGAGCTGTCCCACGGGGTGCGGGAGTACAGCAGCTATAGAAGCAATCAATTCATCCAATCATGCCTAGACCTTTCAGCCAACCAGCAACCCACCACGTCGGTATCATGGCCTTTTCTTTACTGGGCCGGCCTTTCATGCCATGTCTCTCTTATTCGAGCACTTAGACATGGCCATCTTCTTGATAGTTTGTTGACGTCGCGTTTTGTTTTTCTGGTCCCTCGATCGGTCTGTGGGAGGCTTTCTAACTATTGTATGCCGGCGGCCGTTGATAGCCTGCTCGGCTCCACGGCCTATTCGCAGCAACAGTTAGAACGCGATGATCTGACACGGTCGGACCATCGAACACGCATGCATAGTATACAAATTGCCATAGTTGTAGCATATAGGTAGCATAGTAGCCCTTGTGCTAACATACCTATGTAGGCCTACAAACCTAGGTAGTCCCCAAGACGGATTAATAGGTGGATGGAACAAGAAGGTGTGTTCTGCGTAACAAATAGGCTCTAGGGTAAGGTGAAGCGCAGGCAGCCTACCTAGTACGAATTGACGTGATGATGGGAGCCAGACGCAATAGGGGCTAGGATCCATTACACATGACACGCATGATAAATTGATTTTCCAGTCGTGTAAGACCGCGTCAGGAGATCTTGATTGGTTAGGAGCTTTCGACGATTTGGTTTGGTCGGCGCGACATCTGCCTTGTATTCTTGCAGATTTCCAGATTTCCAGATTTCCATGGGCTGAAATGGCGACACTAGCCCGAATGGAAGAATCCCTGCTCAGGTTTCTCCTTTGCAGCTCTATGCGATGCGAACAGGCGTAGGATTTGCTCTCAAGATTGAGAATAGTTAAGGGGCAATGAAACGGGATGTACGGAATACATATATACCTACATACCTACGTATATGTATTTACTGTGCCATGAAGATCGTATGTATGGCAATTCTCCCCTTTACATAGTACATACCTGGGTACCCAGGCAAATTCAATAGATATTATTAGCCTTACTAGGAAGCATCATCGGATGATTTGATGATGGCGAACGTAAATTATTACACGTTTTTGGTGTGCATTAGCATTATTGCTTACCAGGGCACGTCGGATCGACTTTACTGGCCTCATTCCTAAAGACCGATCTGCAGTAATTAATCATATCGAAAGTAAGTATTGTATGTAGGCTAACCGTATGCCATGTTCGTTATGTACTTAAAGCTGTATTCTCCATATGTCAACTGACGGGCGAGAAATACTACTGCGCCCTTCGTAGCTGAGTCCAATCGAGCTATGACTTCTACTCCTTCGGCTTCAAGCGAAACCTTCAAGCGAAACCGAGCCCTTGTTGGCAGTGACTTAACACCCTCAGAAGTATAAGTATAATTGAGAAGTGTCCGGTAATTTACGTATTCCAGGGGGTAATTAACGTTAAGGCAGCGTTAATGATCCGTTATTAAACAGTAACACAGTAAAGCTCTTTGGGTCGGAGCACGCATAAACACAGTGCGACTTCGATCCTCCGCTATTTCCATTTCGAATGGAACCGCTTCTATCGCGCTCAGTGCTTTCTGAAATCTTCCCACTGTGGCGCCTTAGCACTATGCTTAGCACTATGTACAGTTCGGAGTACTGTACGTTTTTGGTATGCGAATTTATTGCACTGTTCCATGTATGTATCGTCTGAATGTACGAAACTCTCTACGTAAGTTAGACTTATAAAAAAAAAATACAAGCTTGCACCTTGAGGATTGAGGTGGAGTGTCCACCCCATCATCCGAATTGTCATGCCCTGGTCGTAATAGCATAATTCCATGATGTTCATTCGACGATATGTACTTGATAAGTTATCTAGTGCTGCACATTACTGGTTTCCATCAGCGAAGAGGTGGCCGATAAAACGGCTAACTGCCCTAAAGAATGGCATTACGTGCATACACCTATCAAATCTCGAACTCCAGGGCTCTAAAAAGTTACAATGCATTATGCACACAAAGGCGTGTAAGGCCAGATGGTCTATATCGAAGAGACCGTTACGAAACAAACAAATACTCCACGGCTCACTCGTGACGAAGAAGGTCTTGATTCAGTAGACCCCTTACGCATGTGCAAGTATATACAAAGCAGATTGAAACCGCCTACAAGCATCATAGCAAGGAGAGCCTCAAACGACGTTCGATCAAATTTATAGTGCATACATATGCCTATCTACCGATATCTGCCATGTAAGTTTAGGTACACCATGTAAGGCTAGTCCTACGAGACAAATAGCCAACCAACAAGTCTAATACTTGCATCATAGCTAAACATTGAAATATCCATATGCATATTTGAGTCTGTTATTAAATTATATATCCCGAAAGTCTACCATACGGTAGCACCCGTACCGTCCAGTTTCGCGTACACATCCACGGCAGCCTCCCATCTTGAAAGTCGTCAGCACCAAGTTCATTGGGCGCTGCGAATAAGCGGTCTGATGTTATTGAGCAGCAATCAGCAGAGCTTGTTTATCGGCTGTCAAACCATGTAGCCCAAAAAGACGGCTTGGGCCTCGCAATCAATAGAAAAATCAACAGTCAACAACCAACTGGCCGTCGTTCAAAGCCTTTTGCTAAATCCGATGTGTATGATATGTATGTACCTCCAATCGAAGTAAGCTCCGCTAAGTACACGTAAAAATACACTTTAATGTTTCTATGTACACCGTTCCCGTACGTACGTGGACCCCGGCTACAGATCAAGGAATAAGGTTGAAACCCTACATGTGTAGTGTACATATCATGTAGTTATGTGTGTATATATGTACTTCTAAGGTTTACATGTGTACATAGCGTAGGCAGTGTGCTATGTAGGAAATTTGCTTGCTGCTTGCGACTTACAAGGTCCTTAGTTGCAAAGAAAGGGTGTGCAAGGTGCAGGCAGCAGGCTGCGTGTCAGGGAAAGAGCGTGTGTAGGTAGGTACGGAGAGAAGGACTGGAGGGAATAAGGACTAGAGGTACAAAAAGCCTGCTGGGGGGCACGCGAGCAAGCTGGGAAAATGTACTTGTACCTACCTGCAAGGCGGCCGTCGCCAACCCTTAAGCTAACCTTAGCAAATTCTCGAATCTCATAGGCTGTCGCGAGCGCGGTACCTTGTCTAGGCTCATCCTGGCCCCCCGGCCTCTTTCCTGCTGAGGCCCTGGGCCCTGTAAACCTGGTATACTTACCACTGTACCTGTGGATTTTATTACTGGTGCTTTTTTTCTTCTCGCTCTTTCGCACGCCGTTTCTACTTTTTGCGTGGATGCTCTGACCCGCGCTGGGGCCGATGTCTTAAAAGTACCTGTTAAACCAATCCATCTCTTCCAATCCTTTTTCATCTCCTCCATCCTCCTCCAACTTGAGGCCATCTCCTAACTCTCTCCTTCCTTTCCTCGTCCTCTTTATCCGATCCATTCATTTTCCTCCTCCACGACACTTATCCTTACTATCGTCTCCTTGTCCATTTCAAGGAGGAAAGGAGGAGAGAGAAATCCCGGGCCTTTACGACAGCGCAAGACGAACAGGGTAGAGCCGAGATAATAGCAGAAGAAAGAGGGAGAGACGCAAGTCAAATAGATGAAGAGAGAAGCAAAAAAAATTTAGGGTTTTTTGCTTTAGAACTTCGATAATTTTATCCTCTTCAGAAATCCTTCCAGGTAATAACCAATATTTCTGGAATTCGAATTCCTTAGGTCTTTTTTATCTGACCAGGAATCTCTCCCAATTACCACCAAAAACACCCTCCCTACCTCAACTTCATCCCGTCCATCAACCCCCCCCCCTTCTTTAATCCGTCAAGGCGGTTCGACTCCCTCTATCCCGCCCCGTTCTCCATTCCTCGACCCGAGCACCCTTCATCTCTCCCCCCTCCGCTCAATTAGATCGCCCCAAGGAGAATAGTCTTGTCTAGCTTGCTGGGCAGACACAAGGCAATTCGAATCTCCTAATTCTCCCTCGTGCCAACGGTACCAGGAATCTGACTCTGGCTCATCGCAATTACTCCAGAAGAATATCGGTATTAGACTCCACACCGAGTCTACTACTGATTCGAGGATCTCATCCACGAGCCCTACATGAACCCAGTCGCTCGACTATAATCCATTAGAAGCGTGCAAGTGCAAAGGTACGTTTGAGAAGATAGCATTATATCCCAAAAAGGAAGAGAAGGAAAAAAGAGAGTATTTTGCGAAAACTCGAAAAGATTCATATTCTGATATTGGTTCCCTCCCTGCGCAGGTACATACCGACGGTCCACCTACAGTGTTCCAACGGTGTACTCGAACACTCACGCACGCTTCAATCCGCGCCGTCGAGCAGAAAACGCTTGCCCTCGTGGGACTCGTTAACTCGCTGTTCCCACCAAGTTCGTTCAGGAATCACCTAATTTCCTGTGATTAATCGTGGCGGTAAGGGAGACCCTTCTTCAGCGAAATTATAACACAGACCAACGTCATTTTGTATGCACGTATGCTGCATTAAATACTCCATCGAGGATCAATTGCCTGCCAGACGTTTTGCTGCGTGCCAGGAACAGATCCCCACATCATTGTCCCTCGAATCAGAATGCTTGGTGTTCTGCCCCTGATCGTGTGGTTCCAGAAGACCGTGCCCTGTTCCGCCTGGCCTGGTTTTGGTCCATCATGTCTCTCCTTGTTCTCAATTGGGCCATTGGTTTTTGACGCTAATACTTTTCCACTCCAGAGCCTTTTACTCGACGTCTCTTTTTTAACGGCCGCACCTCCGGCCCTCTTTCACCTCAACATTTCACCGTCTTTCGGCAGCCATTCGGCCATAGTCATTCCTTAATTTTTTTCGTCTTTTACTGCGTACAGTTCATCACGCTCATTAATATCGTAATAATCGTGTCGTTCGTCACAGCCGGAATAATACACTCTTTCGACTTCCTCCTGCGACGACCACTCTAATACACTACACTCCTTCCACTGCACCAAGATTCCTGGAGAACCTAATCGTCACTCTTTTTTAAAGATCACGTCCCAGTATCGAACCTACCCGACGATATCACTCTTACCGCAGTTTACTCAACCAATCCCATCACCATGGCCTACTCAAACTCAACCGACTGTGGTTTCTTCGTCGAATCCGATGAGCCTCGACAACCTCGAATCAGCATGAAGGATGCGGCAAAGATGCTAGCCCGAAACAGGCAAGAGATGATTGCCAACGAGTTATCCCGCCTAGCCGGCGACGAGTATCTCGAGGATGTCATGCAGCACATGAGGCACATGGAGGTTGGTGTTTTAATATTACTATCCCCACTTATTTCCCTATCCAAGTATCCCGAATAGTACAATGATGGTGGTTGGTATGTGTACTCTTGTGGCTAACGATTAGAATAGGACGAGACGCTACCGGATGCCAATCTGATTGACATGCAGCGAGAGATCCAATGGTTCATGAGGCCTTACCTGATTGACTTTTTAATCGAGGCTCATGCTGCATTCGCGCTCCTGCCGGAGACCCTGTTTCTGACTGTGAACTTGTTAGATCGGTACTGTTCAAAGCGAGTGGTGTATAAGCAGCACTATCAGTTAGTCGGATGCGCCGCCCTTCTCATTGCTGCCAAGTATGGCGACAAGAAAGATCGGGTACCCCAAATCAACGAGCTGAACAATATGTGTTGTGGTCTTTACGATTCGGGAATGTTCACGCAGATGGAGATGCATGTCCTTAATACGCTCGAGTGGACTATCGGACACCCGACTGTCGACTTCTTTACGCAACTTATCGTCGCCGAGGAAGCCGATGACCGCGAAGTTGAGCACATGGCTGCTTATCTTTGCGAAATTGCATTGTACCATCGAGACTTTGTTTCTACGAAGCCGTCGATTATGGCACGTGCCTCGCTCGCTCTCGCACGTGCGATACTTGGACGACCCGAAGTCAACGACGGCGAATGGGATCATGTGGAGAACGTTACGGTCCTCGCTCTATCTCAGCACTTGCATCAGCCATCAGTTACGTTGTCAAGGAAGTATTCATCTCACCACCTCTCTCGCGTCTCTGGAAAGCTTGCCGAGTTTCTTGCACAGCAAGCAGCTATTTCCCGTCGAGCGCAAGGCCCACCCTCGCCTCCCGCGGAGCCCACTCTGTCAACGCAACACCCCAGCATATATAGCACTCCTCAAAAAGGACACGGTGCCGCCATTGGTGTCGCGGATGGATATCTGACCCCACCTATCACGCCCGACGGTGTTAACTTTGGTGTTGTCACAGACCCAATGAACAAATATGTCCCGCCCAGGTGTCCGGTCACTCCTACACCTCAACCTCCCAGTGCGACCGGGTATCCTCAGCAGCAGCAGCAGCCGCAGCAGCCCCCCGCGCAGCAGTACTCTAACTATTCATACGAGGAATACAGTGGCCCGATGGTTTCGTGATGGTTGCCATAGCTTGGACAGCATCTACGGATTCGAAGTAGATTCACCTTATCAATTCTATCATACGAACAACAACTCGTTTTTGAGACTTATCGCATGGATGTTTATTATTGGAAGAAAAAAAGATTGTTGCATAATTGACGGTTTAGGTTCATCTCCATGGCATCAGCGACTTGTTTTTATTTTCAAATTTTTATTTTCTTTTTTCTCAGTCATACCCATTGAGCGTGCCGTTGTTGCGTCAACCACTTAAGCGAACGATTGTCGTCCAAAAAAATCTGATTTCTCCTTCCTGTGAGTTCGGGCGTTTTTTCAATATCGATCCGAGTACAGAAGACGGCGCGCCAAATTGAAGCACCAAAAGCTACGGAGCGTTGAGATGGAGCAATACATAAGACGGGAGAGGCTGGATGTGGAGAGAAAAAAAAACTGGCAATTTGTGAACAATGGGAGGATGGCGAAATTAGGGGCGCATGTGCAGTGGCGCGAGTACAGGCGAGCAATTCGTCAATTGCTTTCGAAATGTTGAGTGGTTTCGACTCGCCTCGCGCGGTCAAGGACCTGCGAAAGTAATATTGAGGCATGCCGCACGATACGATACACGGTTCGACTCCCTCATGCCGGGAGTATCTTAATTCTTGTGGAGGACGTTTGCTGCGGAATACCCTTGGCACTTTGGACGATACCTTAGATGGCTCTTCGTTCTCATCGTCGACTCTATGTCACATAGTATGCCTGCCGCGGCCGTAAATAAAACGGAAAAGAGTAAAAAATCTCTACAAAATTTGTCACTTTTTTTTTGGTTTAATTTTACGTGATTTTGTGTATATTCTTGGAATGTCCTGGCGTCATTTTAAAACCCCTGAGACGCCGGAAGGGTAGGTGGTCCGAGCTATCAACTCGAAATGACTTGAATAACCGATATCCACCTTCGATTCCTTCGCATAAGCAAAAACCCACCTATTTTCCCCTGGAGGCAATAAACTAATGCAAGTGGACGGCTTTGTCCCGTAACGAAGCAGCAAGATAGATTATGATTTACCACGCATAATAATGCAGCATTCGACGCATTGGTTCCTCCTTACCGCCATTTCGGCCACTCAGGCTCACCTGTCATAGCTGAATTTGGAAAAATGGAATAATGGAAAAATGGAATAATGGAAAAATGGAACATCCAAATCGCGATTTACCCTTGTCGAATCATCTAGCCCAGTAGAATTTAAGTCAAATCCATCGTCTACAATAGCCCATCCATCTAACCTTGCGGAACGTAAGAGATAAGTCGAGAAGATAGTAGTGAAGCACTCCAAGGGAAGAGAATTTGCTACCACGGCGAAGATGACTGCAGACCAGAGTTAGGCGCCTTTGTCTTGGCTATGTAATTAGGCAACCAACGTAGGAAGACAAGGAGCCCCCAAATGTTAAAATACGAACCCAGCCTCAGCTGGGGATGACGCATCTTACGGCGTACATGCATTACAACTACTGCGGAATAGATACACAGCAGGTAACTAGCTACCTTACCAACCCGCAACCATGAGACGAAACCACAAGCAGAATATACCATCTCAGTCAGTAGCAGCGAAATCAAGGGCAGAGCAAGGCGTGGCCACCGCTACCGCTACCGCTCCCCTGCTACTAGACGAATACATACGGCGAGTCGTCGGCTCCTCTTCCTCCTCCTCCTCCTCCACCTTCCCAACACAGCATAGATCATCGCCTGCGATCCTCGAGCGCGGCCGCACAAACCACGTCCTGCTGTACAACGGGTGCTTCAACCCGCCGCACCGCGGACACCTCGCGCAGCTGGTCCACGCGCTCCGGCACGCGGGCCCGGGCCTGAATGTCGTAGGCGCAGTGGTCCTCGTGGCGGACGACTTGTATCTCAAGTGGAAGCTTGCCGGGCAGCGCGGGGCGCTGAGTCTCAGGCTGAGGCAGCGGGTTCGGCTTTGGGAGGAGGAGCTTGCGCTGATGGCGGAGGAGGAGGGGCGGCGGTGCTGGGTGCTCTCGGAGACGCTGTGGCCTGGGCACGCGGATAGACTGGACCGGCTTTTTGGGGAGGATGGGGTCGATGTTGAGTTTGTGAGGCTTGCTGGCGGGGATAAGGTGCGTGTTGCGGCGGTGGAGCATGGGCTGTGGGGGTGTCGGAGTGTGATTACGACGGATGTTAGTCGGCCGGTTGATTTTTACTCTAGCAGTAGTGTCGGCGATGTTGCTTTGTCGATGCCGATGCCGCTGCCGCTGAGCCGTCATGGTGAATGGAAGAGGGTGGTGGTGGTGGGAGAGAGGCAAGGGGAGGACGGAAGGGACGAAGGGGTTGGCAGTGAGACGCTCACGACCAAGTCCACGGTTATATCATCATCATCATCATCTTCAACTTCGACATCCGTCCCACAACCCAGCAGAAACATATGGACCTGCAGCCACGGCCATTATAACGTCCGGTTCGTCGCCAGCAGCCACGACGAGCGCGTCGACCCGGATCTAAGCTCGACCAAGATCCGCGGCATCGTAGCCGCCGCCAAGAAGCTCGATGTCGACCAGCTCGAGGAGAAACTACGGGGTATAGCGCTTAGCCCGGGGCTGCTGGCGCGGTATATTAAGGAGGCTAGGTGAGGGGGTAACGAGTCGTAGGTAAGGAACAACACTCAGGCAGTAGGAATCAGAAACAAGATATGCCTCCATTGTTGAGGCTCTCCTAGCACACCATTACATTTACCTATACCTTCGACCATACTCATTTGCCAGTGTTATCTCCAGACAAGTAATCCCAAAAGAATTAATCATTTCTACCCACATATGTATTTCAGCCCAGGTAAACCTAACATTTCAATTACAGACGTACATAGGTAGTTCCTACCATGCTCCCAGAGCAACCAGCCTAGAAACTTGTAAGTAACAGCGAGGCCGAATCAAGCATACGTCTTGATCATTGACTACAAATTGAATCTACGAAATATCATGTACATCATAGCATATAATCATTTATAGCATGAGAAACTTTCTAGTAAAAAAAGGGTTGCTTAATATTGAACTATGACGAATATTTTCCTTCTGCCAACCCCTTTCCCGCCTTACAAAGGGCGACCACCAACCCCTCTTAGTCGCTCTATTTTCTCCCCTACCTAAACCCCCTACATACCTAGGTATAGATCAGGATGAGTTTCTTTGCAATATAGTTCTTCAGAATACGGAATAAAAACGTGCAAGTCGAAAGAAAGTATTCTGAAGAAACGTAATAATAATCACAATACTGAACCTTACATTGGAATCGTTACCTTTTACAATATCCAAGTAATAGTAAGGGATAAGTTGTTTTCTATTCATTAGCTATACTAATAGTACTTTCGTCCGACATCCCCTACAGCTTAAGTCTAGCATAGTCGTGATTGTATGAAGCACTGTGCCGGCTCCCAAAAGACGAAATTCCAACTCCAAAAAGTTCCAAAAAGTTCCAAAAAGGACAAGGTGACCGTCTCACCCTTTGATAAATAGTATGATAACCTCCCCAGTCGTAATGTTTTCAAGTTTTTCGTAGTTCTAATATCCCACTTTCCTCTTTCTATTTTCTATCACGGTTTCCTTATGATCATGTTCCTATTTTCCTTTTACCAAATCCACACTGGGCGGATTCGCTGCCACCGCGGATCCACTGACGTTGAAGTACTAGTGACGGTGACGGTATTAGTGATGATGGTGGTACTAGTGACGGTAGTGGGTACCTCTTCAACCTCTAGCTCAAATGTGCTGGACGACTCCCCGTGATTTTTCATATCATCTTGTATCATAGTAGTCGGCCCTTTCTCACCGTCGGGCTCTGTCCATGCAATCATAGAAGCCAATGTTGTCATCGAAGAAGGGCGAAACCCGCCGTAGGGAACCGCGCCAGGAGGTAATGTAAAACTGGATGTCTGCGTGTTAGCTGCCTCCGGACTCGACCCCACACCGCCGACGTTGAGATCCGATGTTGTCGGCTGGGCTTCACCGCCGTTAGTTCCAGTCGGCGCCGTATTTGCGTTTGAGCCCGGTGCGGTCAACACAGAGCTCCCCCCAGTATTAGGGCTTGATTGCGTCCCTAAACCTTGCCCGTTAGGCGTGGGACCTCCATTCATCGACGGATTGAAGGTTGGGTTGGACCCTGAACTGGCCGGGTTGCTATTTTCATTCCCTCCGTTTCCGGTAGATCGCGTGCCTTGTCCTTGTGTGTTAGACCCACCGCCCCCATTCGCCCAGGGGCTTGGAGTAGGGCTGAAGCCCAGTGTTGAAGGGGTGCCATTGCCAATGCCCCCGTTGCTTGATGTATTTGGAGTAGCCAGCGCATTTGTGGCTGTACTTGGACTTCCCAATCCGCTGTTAGGTGACGTAGCTGGACCTTGACTTTGGATACCACCTAGGTTGGAGTTCCCATTGTTGTCTGACGAGTTACAGTTTGGATCGGTAGATCCCGAAGTACACGAGTTACCGTTTGAACCACTATTCGGGCTTGATATGGTCGACTGGCTTTGGTCCCCTAGAGTAGCTCCGCCCCCATTATTTGGTATCGAAGAACTTGGATTGTTACTAGTCTGTGGATTGGAACCTACCCCGCCGTTACCGTTTGGTGAAGCGCTTGCTTGCGGTATGTGGGGTGTTGTAGAGCCTCCGTTATCCCCACCTCCGAATGAACGGCAAGCCGGATCATTCGAACCTTGTGTACAAACTCCAGATATTCCGCCATTGTTTGATGGGTTACTATTAGGGCTGGGGGTAGCTGATCCATTACCAGGGCTGGGAGACGTCTGCCCTGGGTTGGAATTGCTTCCTGCTGAATTGGCTGTAGGGCTAGGAGATGAACTCCCTTGTCCTTCACCCATAGACGTCTGTGCCGGGATCCCACCATTACTTGATTGGTGAATAGTTCCCTCAGCCTGGCTAGGTGAAGTTTGACCCTGGTTACTACCACTTCTAGGTGAACTATCTGTAGGACTCGAGCCGGCTGATTCATGACTTTGGCCAGGTGTTTGCCCGGAATGACTATTGTCACTTGATTGATTACTATTAGGACTTGGGGTTGCTGCTCCTTGGCCCTGGCCGTTCGGGCTGGTAGCAGACACACCGGAATTACTACCAGCTGTACCAGCAGAAGGAGCTGAGCCGAGACCACCATTTTGGCTTGGCATACTTCCGTTAGAAGGCGAACCGTGCCCTGATCCCGTGGGGTTCATATCGCCTCCATTATTTGGTGAAGTATTCAAGCTAGAACCAATAGTTGGACCTCCACTCATTCCATCGTTTGAGGCTGAACTGGGTCTACCACCTTGACCGAAGCTGCCGCTACCAGCTCCGTTAGTTGCTGAGCTAGGGCTGGCCCCTGAGTTTCCATTTGGAGATACTGTTAGGCTACTTCCCGGTGTAGTTGGACTTGGCCCCATGTCTCCATTTGTGTTTGAAGATGATCCACCGCTCCCAAAACCTGGGGTGGTTCCGCTATTATTGGGCGGTGAGTTACCGTTACCGCCGTTACCCCTAGGTGAAGTCGGACCAACGGCGGAGCCCCCGCTTGGAAATGATCCTGGTTCTTCTGTACACCGCCCCGAGGTGACGCCACCGCCTCCATTCGGCGGTGTTGCCGAGGCGCCTGGAATAGAACCTCTGTTCGCACTTGTAGGTACCGCCGAATTTGAGCCCAAATTATTAGGCAGCTCTCCCTGTGGTTGTCGTGTCTTGTGCCCAAATTGACTAACCAATTGACTCATATCTGCATCAGGAGGAGGGAATACTACCGCCGGTCCCGTAACCACTGTTTGAGCAACGCCACCCACGTTCATAGATATGATCTCGGGTAGTTTTGCGGTCGCGGGTAGAGGTTGGGGACCCGCACTAGCCCAACCATGGGCTTGGTTGTCGGAACTGTAACAACTGAGCGCGTCGTTGCCACCGCAGGCTTGCCCAGAGTCACCTGTACATGAAACTGAGCATACAGAATCGTCGAGCTTCTGTGTACCATTGAGAAAGTTTCCGCAGTAGCAGCTGTCACCGTTTTCGGTACCCGCCATAAGAAAGCCATGACCTATGCAGTGCTGAACACACCCTTCGTTAGTCAGAGGACCTAAATTGAGAAGTGGTTCCATGTTGAACGCCCGATTGTCAGCTTGGTCAGCCCAGCAGCCACAGTAGCCCCAGCCTGAAGCTTCTCTGGGACTTTTTGGACTCGGCGTGATAGGGCCTGACTCCGTTGGTTGTGTCGGGCTTGATTGAGAGGGGTTCCTAGGTGAGGAGACTGTAGACGATATGATTCCAGGGCCATTCGTAGCTGGTCCGCTTGATCCTGCGCATGTCTCCGGACCTAGAGTTGGTTGGGGGACACAGAACCATCCTCCGTCGCAATGAGCACAAGGCCAACCAAACCCGCAAGGTGCAGGCTGTGCCGGAGTCTGAAGAGGCGGGCAGAACCACCCGTCGAGACATTCGTGACAAGTATAACCGGAGCCAGGACATGGTCCTCGAGAATCAGGAATCCCAGACAGAGAGGTAGTAGTAGCACTGCCAACACCGCCAGCATTTGGGCAATGGCAAGTCGGAGAAACACATTCAGGGCAAGGCGGGTTAGTTGAGCACGGCTGATTGGCATAGACGGGGAGGGTAGGAATTCTACCGGCTCTGTACGCTTGTTAATTATGTAGGATTTTCTAATACCTCTGGACAACTTACAAGAAGATCGTCTCAGTTAATGTCGAATGGCAATCCTCTATCACGGTGACTATCCTATCGGCTAATACAAGTGAGTGTGGATTATTAAGAATCTGAGGAATAGCTATAGAACCTACCATGAGTAGCGACTGTCTCGAGAATGATTTCCAAACGCGATAGTACGGGTGTTGTCAACGATAGTTGAGAACTAGTCGTAGCTGGATCGTCCGAAGTAACAGATCTGTTAATCGTATTAGTTATGCTATCGAGACCACTGCTAACTATCTCGTAACGCCTCCTTAGGTTTGAAGCTGAAAGGTCGTCTGTGGGATCCGTAGCGATTTCCTGAACGACACTCTCTACAGCTAAATTTAGGTCTCCGAGTAAGTCCGCCACAGTATCTAGAGAATTAGGGGCTCTCTGTTGGCTGGCTTCGACTTGGTAAGCCTCCCGTGCAATACCAGTAGCTATAACTTGTCTCGTGGCCTGTCCCCTCGAATTCGTTCCATTGCCGATTTTAGGCGCTGCTAAGGGGACTGCTCTGTCGAGTATACCACTAAGCTTGCCTGTAAGGACTGGAGCCGTAGAACTCGTGGGTTCGGACAATGTAGGAACGGGTAAAACTGGCTGATCCGTCAACAAAATAGGTATCCCTTCAGAAGGACTGATACTCGACGAATTAATCGTCGATATAGAGTCGCTCAGATGAGCAGTCATGTCTATTTCTAAGGCTGTCGTGCCCAAAATAAGGTTCCTGGAGGTCATATTAGAGAAGCCGTCTATATTAATATCACGTTTCCTATGACGATATTGCCATCTACTATCGTTGGCAAGCTGCTGCTTAGATAGGACATCGCTCCCTGTCGATAGGTTGCGATTCTCGAACGTGAGATTGTCGAAGCTGTGATGGGCAGATGTCGCAGCTAGTGAACTAGAGGAAAACACTGTCGTTACGAGCAAGTATCCCGCTATACCTAGAGACGGGGATGGCATTTGGAATGCGTAGTATCTTATAAGGACTTCGGACGGGCGACAGAAGGATTTGTGGTTCAAAAGGGGTTATGGTCGAGTCAAGTTCAAAATTGAGCCAAAACGTAAGACCAAAAAGACCAAAATTGGCAATAGTTAGGGCAAAGTGAGGTTTAGTAGAGCGGCGATATGGGTGCGAGTATGAAATGATATTAGTATGGATTCAGAAGTTGATCTAGCTAATGTTATACTTGCCTGTCGCTACTCCCCTTTCTCTAATATAAGTGCAGTAGGAACAGCCTGGGTTTGATTAGGGGAGGAATAACCGAAATATAGGGGGCTTGCCTTACTACTATTGACACGTTATTTCCTTACCCGTCATGAGTAGCTGGTCTTCGCGGAAGGTATTAATGGCCTGTCTGCTTAATCCACGACGATCGCGCTATACCTTTACTATGCACCTACCTCTAAGAACATGTACTACTAGGTAGTTTATGTAAGTAGGTATATTTAGGGGCTCAAAGCTGATATTGATGCTTTCTTACGTAGGTGATATAGCATCTCCGTCTTAAACATTTCCTATGAGGCTTACAGTCAACGTCAAGTAAACTTTGTAGCTTCACAGCATACTAAGAATGGATCATAGGTATGAATTGTCAGAATCGTGCTGCCATTTTGCTGCCTTAATCTGATGCCTGCCTACCCGGCACCGATGCAATTAAAAAACATGAACGAGTCTACGCCGTATGCCCCGAATCCCGCATCTAGTATCGCTTTCCTTCTCGGAGAGTATCCGCGTACTCCTCCAGCGGGCTTCTGATCAACTTCGTCTCGGTCCACAGGTTGGGCGTTAAGAATCCGTACGAGTTGGAGATAGCGGCGAATGTAGCCTTCAGGGTGTTCTCGAGGGTCTTGGTGGAACCAGACGACGAAGTGTATGCGTCCTCGATACCGGCAAGCTGTAGGAGACGCTTGACAGCAGGGGATGCGACGATCTGAGTACCACGAGGGGCGGGGATAAGCTGCAAATTGTATTAGTACTAAATTTCTCCTTATGGGCGCATTTTGAACATACTCGGACAGTGACGGAACCGCACTTTCCACTCTCCTTGACGGGTAGGGAGTGAGGAACACCAAGGTTGGTACCCCAGTAACCACGTCGGACGGGGATGACGCTGAGCTTGGCGATGATGATCGCAGCACGGATAGCAGTAGCGACTTCCTTGGAGGTCTTGATACCAAGACCAACGTGACCCTCGGAGTCACCAATGATGACAATAGCCTTGAATCGGGTTCGCTGACCGGCACGGGTCTGCTTCTGTACGGGCTTGATCTAAATTCGGGGAATCCAAGTTAGTGATTCCATTTCGACACTCTCGTACCCTTAGGTTTCCTCAAAAGAAAGCCCTGGAAACTTGGGGTGCTTTTTGGGTTAAATCGTACCTTCATGACCTCATCCTTGAGCTTTGGTAGGAAGAAGTCGACGATCTGGTACTCCTTGATGGGGAGAGAGTGTAAGTAGATTTCCTCCATGTTCTTGATCTTGCCAGCCTTCACAAGACGTCCCAACTTAGTGACAGGCATCCATTCCTTCTCGCTATCCTTCGCACCACCGCGACGGCCTCGACCTCTGCCACGGCCACGGCCACGATCGCCGCCTCGGTCACCTCGAGAACCAAAACCGCCTCCGCGGGCACCGCCTCGGTCAGCCATATTGAATTGTTTGTGGGAGTGTTGGCTGTTGGCTGTTGGAAGGTCGTTAGGTAGTGTGCGTAAAGCGAAAAACTCCGAATTGAGCTTTTCGTGATGGCGGTTTTGAGGTTGACCAAATTTCGAAGTTTGGGAATTTTGCGGTGGAGGGGCCCTACAATTTTGGAATTTCGTTCTGGGTTTGTGGGAAAATGGGCCCCAGCCGAGGTGGTCAGTGCACACTATCTGCCGATTACCGATAAGATTAGGTACCTAAGTACATACCTATATTAGGTTTCTAATGTGGGTGGCTACTCCAGTTGTGAAATAGAAATACACCTCATAGTGAATTTCGCACCAAGGTTCCTTCCAAGTATTCTCCATCCACATTTTGACGGGCATACTAAAATGGCTTCATTTATTTCCACGAGGGTCAAGTTACCCGATGACTAATCATGTTTGAATTATACATGTATATGCGACGGCTGGAGAGATTACTTGCCTTCCGGAGATAATTGAACCACTCCTAGCTCAAGTCTTAAACCTATCGCACAGGACTGCGGAAATAATATAAGTTATCAGGACTAAACCTTCCTAATAGCCTAGGTAAATATTAATATGAACTAAGCTATGCAGAGGTGAGTCTCCCTGGGTAAGCCATTAGGTCGCGCTCGGATCGAGAAAAGCCTATAAGCCTAGATTAGAAACTTGACGAGATATTATATGTAAGAGTTACTGGTTGTAACTAGTCAGACATGGCACGATGCACATATCTCGTGCAAATTTCGAGTTTCATTACCATGATCTAACGTCATACGCCGATACTGAGCCTGTAACCTAGGCCACGTCGTGATAACCGTGAATAACCTCGCGGTTGCGCCCTCAGGTCCAGGTTATATTTACAATAGGCATTTGGATTTTAGTAACTGAAAACATCCCAAGCCCAGCCTGACTATCCCAATAGGAGTAAGTGGAGTAAATAATGTGTAATTCATGCTCAATGTAAACGATGCAAAGGGAGGACGAAGTGCGCAGAGTGCATTTAAAGGCAATATAAGCACGACGAATTCCTGAGAAGGAGGGTATCTCATCGTCATTCTGTCCGTAACACAATCCACAATCCCCTACTCGTCCTTGCGGATTAATGAATCCGAAGGATTGACTCGTTGTGCCCACTCGCTACTCGCTGATCAGTTATGCGAAGATAGTCAAGAAGTAAAAGTTTAACTCACGTCCAGCTGCCATCGTAGACCCGCCGAGTCTCAGAAGAACCGTACCCTGCCACCTCGAGAGCAGTATCAATGACAACTGCTGTCACTCCAGTGCCACATGTCGATATGATCGGCTTGGTCGGATCTACCCCCTTTTCCTTAAATAACTTCTGTAGTTGCTCCTTGGGCAAGAATGCTTTGGTCTCAGGGTCGAGAACAGCACTGAAAGGAATGCTGATAGAACCCGGCATATGGCCGGACGAGAGACCCTCTCTGGGCTCGGGGTCCTTGCCGGTAAATCTGCCAGCAGGTCTTGCATCGATAATCTGAACCCCTTCGGAGCCTTCCTTATTATAATCTAGGGAAACCTCTCGCACCTGTTCGAAGCTTGCGACCTGGGTTTCGTCTGTCTTGGGAATTGGGTACGGGTTGCATTCTACGCTGTAGAGTTCGCCCGACTCTGTGGGAAGGCCTTGCTCCACCCACAACTTGAAATTGTTCAAAATATGTACCTTGGGGTGACCGAATACCCTAAGGGTCCATGCTACTCTTGGCGCACTGAAAATACCCAGCTCTTTTGAGTCGTAGACAACTACTGTATCGTCCTTTCGAATACCAAGAGAGCTCATTGCTTCTGCGAATGTCTTGGCGCTCGGTAGCATATGGGGATATGGGCTCCGTTTATCGTTGACCTTATCGAGATCAAAGAAGCGGGCCTTTGGTATTCGCTTCTCGATGAAGACGTCAATACCCTTTCGCTCGTCATTTGGTAAGAACCATGAGGCGCATAGGGGAATAACTCGGGGCTCGGGACTGATAGGTGATGGCGGACTTTTTTTCAGAGCATCTGCCAGCTCAGTGGGTGTCACTAGGTAGGAGGACATATTCCGTCGAGGTTCTATGAAACCAATTAGGCATCTCTGGAAGATTCGTCGTGGAGAGGAAGCTCGCGTGGAGCGAAATATTGCAAAAGTCGCCATAGCTAGACCGCTCTTTTATGCGACTTATGCACGATATGGGTCGATTATGAACTCTTATATTCGGACGAAGTGATACTTAAGAAATGTCTTCTGGGCGGGTGAGGTCCGGTCGTCGCTTAGAAGTGAGCAATCCAGATCGCCACCACCGCCCGGAGAGATCGTGAGTGACGGTAATTGAATAGAAGAAAAGTGACGCTCGGATGATTGAATAAGCTCCAATTTGTCTTGAGAGCTTTGGAGAAATGATGTATGGTGTGGGGTCTTTTTAGTACCTACAGTTCGTCACTTCCTTTGTTCAACCAAATACTAACGGCGTTAATAATTTCGCGTAACGCAAGAACAAACAGCTTTGCGATGGCGTGAAGTCAAAATCTCGATTCTCCAATTACGAAGTGGCTGCCCGATAAGCAAGGTTTGTACCTGACCAACAGAGGGGCCTGCTATCTATGTATAAGATTCAACTGTGGAGTACATCCCACTAACATCAGGTGTGATGCCGAACAGCCCGACCTATTGCGACTGCGACAAACTGAATGGTCTAATTTTATTGATACCTTAACTACGGTTTATTGCATATTTACACAATAATCCAGCTAATAGATTTTATTGCTGTGATTGTGTTATAAACAGAATAAAACATCACGGAGACGTTCACCACAAACAAGATATCAAGCATCTAAATCAAGCAAACTTCCTCAATGAAGGTCAAAATAAAGCAGTGGAACGCAGTCGCAACGTGGAGATGGGATCTCCCAGAAGATGATGTCTGCGGTATTTGTCAAGTCCATTTCGATGGAACATGTCCTACTTGCAAATATCCCGGCGACGATTGCAGCCTTCGTATGTTACCGCATCACGCGTCTTTACCCATCATATGTAGAGAGAAGTTTGGCTAACTCTTCTTAGTATCAGGCAAGTGTGGTCACAATTTTCACATGGTCGGTGTTAAGCAAATTCCTTTTTTGGCGAAAATTAAAAGTGCTGACACCATAAAAAGCATTGTATCATGGAATGGATAAAGCAGGACTCGGCCAAAGGGCAATGCCCAATGTGTCGACAGAGTAAGTTGACTTCCTTCTTTTTGTCGGACTTGTAGCTAATATACCGTGTTATTCAGAGTTTGAGTGGGAAACAGAAACAGGAGCAGCTCAACAACCAGCTGAAGATGGCGAGCTAGACCTGGATGACGCCTAGTGATGAGAAGGCATGAGCACTATTAGACACGTTCCGGTTTCTTATTATAACTTCTGGTTTAAATAAGAGGCTTCTATTCTTAATGTCTTGAGGTTAATGGTTTTCTACTTGCGATGGAGTTAGGAGATTTATTAATAGTAAGTCATATCACCTTGCATTATTACCTAAATTACTTATATTTACTTATATTCACTAGGGGTATACCTAGACGGGATCAACTCTAAAAAATACTAATTACTTAATATCCAAAGGATCAGGCGTCTACATATGATAATATCAATGTCTCTTGCACCTATTTATGCTTAGGTTATATGTACCTAGGTACCTTGGTATTGACTTTTCGGCAAGGAATTCCCGTCCTTGCATATGGTATTTAGGTTTCTTACTGGAGCACAAAGCTTCCCTTTCCCCACATAACGATAAGATAGAAGCTACGAATAGCTTAAAGTCAAGCAAACTACCTAAGGCCAGCTGGGTGGATACCTGGTCAAGGCACATGTACCTTGCACGGCTTGCAGCTTGCATGACACCACCTGCGGTCTTCCATCACTAAGGTACCTCTGCTCATTAGCAAAAACCCTTGGGCCTTTCTCGCCTATTACCCTCCAATACATGGACCTTCGGAGCCATGATGCGCCAGCTTCCTCTTCATCACTCCCATCCGGACTTCTTCTCCGCTCCTCTCGAACAAATAGCCCTCTCCATGATTCTCACAGGCCAGCCTTCAAGATGACGGAACCCCCATCAGAACAACCGCCGATGGCGGACACTTACGACGACCAAGATCACGAGCCGCATCCGTTTGCGCCAATATTCACCCTCGTGAACAATGCATCGACGCGTACAACCCATCATCCACATGTGCGCTACATCTTCAGCGACGATGACCCAGACATCCTAACACAAGCATTAGCCGAACTTGACATCGGTGTCGACGGAACCACCTCCGACCCAACCTCGTCCAATAGGGCTATGGTATTAGACCTAGCACCCGACCCTACAGGAGGATATAGCGTTGCTTGGGCTTCAAGTTTGTCGCCGTCCTGGGCAGTGCTAGATGCGCAACTCAGCCAGATAGCACCACCCTCGTCCGACGGGGAAAGCAATAACAATAGAGGCGGAGATGGTAGCAGCCGACCCGATCGCCTTATGTTAAAAATCGAAGGCATAGAAAGCAACAGTCTAGGCTCGGAGGGTGGACTATCTGGAGAGGCAAGTAGACACGGTTCAGGCAGCGCAAGTGGTAGAAGTAGTCAGCATGATCGTAACCGAGGAGAGATCGAAGACTATACCAACTTAGTGGACAAATTTGACAGGCAGATGACCACACTTCGGAAAATTGTCGATGCTAGCGAGGAGAGGCAACGGAAGACGGCCGCGGATACCTATGCGATAGTAGAGCCCACACAAGAAGTAGCGGGTGGAATCCAACCGATGGATTGAGAGCCTTGGAAGAAACCAATATTTATCCAACGCGAAGTCCGAACCACTCCATAAGATTGTCCTTGGGAGGTTTCTTGAATTTATTAGAACGACGACCGGAATCAAATTTATATCGCCAGCTGAAAGGCTACGGAGAATGATGAACAGGATTACAGAACTGCAGATCGTCGCCTCGATCGGAGGAGTGTTATACGGAGCTTAGGGACCGAGGTTAAGACGGCGGCTTAAGCCTTGCCGCGGAGATTTTGATCATGAACGGTCCTTGAGTCAGGATATGTACTATTCCTAGCATTATTACGCCTCGTCTGTGGAACAAGTCAGCGAAGGCTTGTCTGGACGCTGATATCAGCATGCATCAAATATCTTACCAGAAGCTGCAGTCTAAGGCCGTCCGGTGCGTTGGTTGGTTTTGTGACTGATATGCTATGCACCCCGTAAGAGTCTTATAGTCGCTAAATATCAGTTCACTTTGTCCCGGCTCGGAATTCCATAATGTAGGTATTGTCTGAAGAATGTCTGGCGGCTTAGTAACTTGGTCAAGCTTTAACCTAGTTACTTGGTTTAATGACTGAAGGTCCGCCCTCGTAAATATATTAACCAAGACGCTATCTCCAGTGCTGCTACAATCCTTTTAACATTTACCACTCCCTTTCTTCCCCATATGAAGTAGGTACTATACTTAGTTTTAGACGAACACCAGGAATCGAAATTGGGTATTTTCCGCCGTATATCGAATAGGTCTGCTCCGTACCAAAGCTTACATGGCGTAAAGGATCGGGTGATTATATAGTAAGTGCGAGTGGATATGGAGTTTAGGAGTTCTAGAATAGGTCTCAGTACAACTCTTATTGGCCATCCTATGAGGGGGGAATTTGGACGGGTATATAGAGTATCATGTATATATTATACTGTTCCTTGATTTGGATAAGTTATTGTAGAATTTGTAATTTGTCTAGTTACCAACACTTCGTAGCCTTTGATTTATAGATCATTATTCCATTGTTATCTATTTTCGATATTGGTGTTTTTGATTTATATGATTGGTGGGTATATTGTGAGTAGCTTCACAATTCATATTCATGTCTTTCTATTCTGTTAACTATGTGTAACTATTCTAGAGTCCATCTTTTATATGAAAGTTGTTTTTGAGCAACTATACATAACGGGTAAATAAAATTGGTATCACGGCCTCCTACATATATCTCTGACAGTCAAGTGTAACTTAATAAACACGATGGTCTGATTTGATTGCCTTTATTATCTTAGATTAATGAGCAAGACTCAGTCACCGCAATAAATAAGTAGCCCTGAGCTGAGATCTGAGAATCAGCATGCGTGTACGATCAGATCCTCCTTGGCACCCACATTCAATTTCCATCTTTGTACGTAATGACAAGGTTTCCCAACCCGGGAAGAAGTCGCCTGTTTGACGATGTGACCCCATCCCCAACCCCTGGCCTTCATATGTATGTAAACCTCAGCCACCCGGGCCAACCACCGCTCGTCGTTCGAGACCTCTTTGAAACGCCTATTTGTAACAAAGTCTGCCGCAGATTACGACAACACCCACCACTGCTACTCTCCCACAAAGCACCAGTCTACGTAGGCTCCCTCTTTCGTACATATTAACACAATCGATAATAAAAACCTTGTCTGTCTGGGCAAAAGAAGATTCCATTGAAATACAGATCGCCCTGCTCTTTACTTGCGGGAGAAAAAGCTTGGCATTCATTTCTCTCATCATTCTTTGTTTGTTCCCGTCTCCATTTCTCTTCGGCTGGCCTGGACTGGTGATTGTAGTGCTGCGCATTCTACGGCCGCTGGATTTCCCTTCGCTCTTCTATTCTTTTCGAAGTCTAGTTGTATTTTACGCTATTGGAATTCCTCGTATCTTGATACCCAAGGAAGAATAAGAAAGAAAAAAGGCACAATGTTCGGAAAGACACGTATCCCGCCCTACACTCCGTCGGCGAACGACGTGGTGCGCCGCCAGTACATCGAGGATGAGAATGGTCGTTACGTATGGTTTTGGTATACTCGGGTACGTATTTGAACATCGCAGCTCTGGGAATCTTTCTAACACCGCTGCAGACAGGCGTGATTGTCAAATGGTCGCTATTCCTGGGTATCCTGCTCCTACTAATGCTGTACCTCGTCCTCGGCCGCATGCACGCTAGGAAGCTCATCCGGCAAGGCAAAAAACCAATGACCTACCACGGCGTACGTATAACCTTCTATTGATGCCGTCTCATCGGCTGTGGTTGTTGACGATCCAGACTAACGTATCGCAGTGGCTGCTTTCCCGCCAAGAGAGAGGCACCGTCGACCCGCAATATGCTTGGCCGCAAGCTTCCTACACAACCTACCAACAGAGGCCGGGTTACGGAGCCCCTAACTACGGCATGCACCATATGCCCCCGCCCGTCTACGACCCTAACAACAGACCTCCGATGTATGAGGGAGGTCCGCCGCCGATGGGAAGCACTAAGATCGATCCCATGCAAACCGGTGTAGAGCCGACGCGACAACCCGCTGGCGATGACTATGCGCCGCCTCCCGGGCCGCCACCACCTGCTGCGCAGAGATAGACGGTTGATTAGGGACGGATAAGCACACGGGCGGTTATGTTACTTAATGTTGGGAAGGGAGAAAGGATTTCATAGTGGACTTGTCTAAATTCATACCCAAGCTTGCAGTACGTAGCAAGAAATAGCATTGAATATGACAGATGACTTGTACGATTTGTGTACAGGATAATAATTTCATTGTAGCCTACATGGGCACCAAGTATTGCATGCTGACAGAATGTCCAAATGGTGCCGTTGAGTGCGCCGCTCATACGCCTGTAGTAAAGAATAAGCACCTAGGTCCCTTTGGTATTGCACCTACCCGCCAGGGTATCTATAAAATTAGCCCAAACTCCGTATACGTATAGTCATAATCCGTTCAGTCCACCTCCATCGCATCTGGGTCGTCGTCAGGGGGGAGTTCGGCCCCATTATGGTTCATAAATCCATTCATAGTAATCGGCGTACTTGGCGTATTAAACGTAGATGGGGCAGGGTTCGACGGAGGCGCAGCTTGTTGTTCAAGCTCCTCCTTTTGCTTGTCCCTGGCCCTTTGTCTCGCTTCAATGATGGCTCTCCTCACGCTATCCTTCTCCTCGGGTATAGTTAAGGAGGTAGGCTCTCTGTATAAAACCAATTGCATGCCGGCAATCTCGCCGTCCTTATTGGCTAGTACTAAGGGCGGGATGCGGTTCTGCATGAGATGCTTCTCAATGTCGGGTATAAAGACAAGGCGGCCGTCGGACTCGGACTCGGTGTCTGAGAGCTCGTCGTCTAGGTTATGGATGTACACCTTGTGCTTTGAGTCGTCAAGCTGCATGCTATCATTTTCGGGAACCTGGGTTAGCGAGGTGCATTCAGCCGGCCTGAGCTTGGGGCTCTCGACTGGGACGTAGAGCTTCTGCCCATTTTTTTCTATCGAAGGAAATGGTGTTAGTGACGATGCATTGGCTATAATTGGTGGAGGATAGGTAGATAATAGAAAACCTACCGAGATTGAGGAGACTTAGTCTCTTGGATAGTCTTTCATTGTCCTGGGACTCAGCTTTCCTCTTGCGCATCTTTCGCGTTCCTCCGACATTGAGATATTGTTGATTGTGTTGTTGTTGCAACAAATCGGAACTGGGGGATTCATAGACGTTGGGGTTGGAATTGGGGAAGGGAAAGTAGTTCCCACTGATGGAAGCGCCTGGAATAGCGGAAGCAGGCGCTGCGGTAGCGGGGAACTGCATAGCGCTAGGATTGGTGTATGGGAAACTGGAAAGCGCAAAGGCGGTCGAGCTAGGCCCTACATCCATGGCTTTCATGTACCTCTATCCGACTATTTTCTTTATCTTTTTTCACCCTTCTCTTATCAAGTACATATACCCCAATTAACTAACAGCGGTAGGTCGTGCGCCGGAGTCGGTCTCTTCGAATAGCCGCGAGAATCAGCGATAAGGTCTTTATGAGCAATTGATTTAAATATTTAACAATCAATTCGATAGGATTTTTATGATATGATTCCGAAGTCGCAGGTTGGATTGGGTGCGTAGAGGTCGGTACGTATTATTATAAGCTCTTATTTTAGGGGTCCAATTGAAGCTTGGGGGTTTTAAGCGTCTAGGCCGAATGAAAATTCAATGCGGCGGACAGTCGCCGTTTATAGGCGGCGCATTATTGAGTCACTCTTGTAGAAGATTCTATCCTTTTTCTACGCACCCGGCCGCAAACATTCTTCGGCCGGCTTCTAATTACTCCACAACAACGAACAAATCCGTATTATCATCATCTCGCTTACGCTTTTCTTTTTCTCGTTCAAACGCATACCGATACCGATTCCGATTCTCGACCACAAGAGCATATACAACCGTCGCCGTCATGGGCGAGCCCAAGTGGACCGGTGTTGGCGTCCGCAAGACTTTCTTCGAATTCTTTGAGAAGAAGGGGCACACTATAGGTACGCAACGCCACAACACCACCGCATGTCGATTTATTACAAGATGCAGATGCATCTAATATATTCTTTCGACATCCCTCTACCACATCATATACCAAAAATTACTAATGTTCCTCTTTTTCCCCAGTGCCCTCATCGTCTGTTGTGCCTCACAATGACCCTACCCTGCTCTTCACCAATGCGGGCATGAACCAGTTCAAGCCCATATTCCTAGGTACTATTTCTAGTTCGGATGAAATGTCCAAGCTGAAGCGTGCCGTCGATACGCAGAAGTGTATACGCGCTGGCGGGAAGCATAATGTATGATACCTCGCGACTCGGCCCCATCAACGTACTTGATATTAATAACAGAAACTGCATAGGACCTCGACGAGTGAGTTTGGTGACGGCTTTACTTGAACGTTAGTTATCGAAAGTCTATACGTATGCTAATCGGAAATCCAGTGTCGGCAAAGACAGTTATCACCATGTAGGCACATACGCCCGTTTTCTATCTGTTTACGTAAACTGATTTGAATCGCAGACATTCTTCGAGATGTTGGGCAACTGGTCCTTTGGTGATTATTTCAAGAAGGAGGCGATAGGATGGTCGTGGGAGCTTCTCACCGAGGTCTATGGGTTGGACCCCGAAAGACTCTACGTCACCTACTTCGAAGGCAACCCCGCCATGAACCTCGAACCTGACCTAGAAGCCAAGGAATTGTGGAGATCTGTTGGCGTACCCGAGGATCATATCCTACCTGGTAACATGAAGGACAATTTCTGGGAGATGGGCGACCAGGGTCCCTGTGGCCCTTGCAGCGAAGTTCACTACGACAAGGTCGGAGGGCGCAATGCTGCACACCTAGTCAACCAAGACGACCCCTTAGTCGTGGAGATCTGGAATAACGTTTTTATCCAATTCGATCGTCAGAAAGATGGCTCGCTCAAGTCTTTACCGGCAAAGCACGTCGACACGGGAATGGGTTTCGAGCGATTAGTATCTGCACTTCAGGACAAGAGCTCCAACTACGCAACCGATATCTTCACTCCCCTATTTGACAAGATCCAGGAAGTCACGGGAGCGCGGCAATATACCGACAAATACGGCAAGGACGATGCTGATGGCATTGACACCGCTTATCGTGTAGTCGCTGACCATATACGACTACTCACATTTGCTATATCAGACGGCGCCGCGCCTAACAACGAGGGCAGAGGTTACGTCGTTCGCCGTGTATTGCGGAGAGGTTCACGTTATGCTCGAAAGTATTTCAACGCGGAAATTGGTTCGTTCTTCTCTAAGATCCTACCTGCACTCGTCGACCAGATGGGCGAACAATTCCCAGAGATCGTTAAGAAGCAGCAAGACATCAAGGAGATACTAGACGAGGAAGAGGAGGCCTTTGCCCGAACGTTGGACCGTGGAGAGAAGCAGTTTGAAAAGTATGCAGCTCAGGCAGTCAACAGCGGGACGAAGAAGCTCTCCGGAGCAGATGTTTGGAGATTGTACGATACTTTTGGTTTCCCGGAAGATCTAACCAAGCTAATGGCCGAGGAGCGGGGTCTCGAAACTGACGAGGGCGAAATCGCCATTGCTAGAGAGAAGGCTCGAGAAGCTAGCAAGACTGTAAAGGAAGCAGCGCAAACATTTGCGAAGTTGAATGTCCACCAAATTGCCGAATTAAAGGACAAGTTACAAGTACCTGATCCGGACGACGAGCCTAAGTTTTCCAAGGGCGACACGACTGGAAAAGTTCAGCTTATCTACACAGGCACCGATTTCATCAAGTCGACTAAGGACCTACCCCCGAATACCGCCTTCGGTCTTCTACTAGACAGGACCAATTTCTACGCCGAGCAAGGTGGTCAGGTTGCCGACACCGGAAGAATTGTTATCGATGATGTCGCGGAGTTCGAAGTCCACGATGTTCAACAGTTCGGAGGATATATAATTCACAACGGATTCTTAAAGTATGGGGAACTTAAGGCCGGGGATGAGGTTATCTGCGAATATGACGAGCTGAGGAGACAGCCTATTCGCAATAACCACACCGGCACGCATATTCTTAACCACTCTCTACGAGAAGTACTAGGCGAAGATATCAACCAGAAAGGTTCGCTAGTCGACCAAGACAAGCTCCGGTTCGACTTCTCGCACAAGGCGGCAGTCAGTCTTCCCGAACTTAAGAAGATCGAACATTTGTCAAATGAGTATATCCGACAAAACTGCAAGATCTACTCTAAGGATGTTGAGCTCGACTTGGCAAAGAAGATCAACGGTGTCCGCGCCGTTTTCGGTGAGACCTATCCAAACCCGGTCCGAGTGGTATCGGTTGGTATCGATGTCGACATGCTACTCGAAGCACCGGAGAATCCCGAGTGGCGAAAGGTTAGTATCGAATTCTGCGGTGGCACACACGTCGACCAGACTGGTATCATAAAGGATCTAGTCGTTGTAGAAGAGAGCGGTATTGCCAAAGGTATTCGCCGTATTGTAGCATACACTGGTGATGCCGCGCACCGTGTGCAACGCGAGGCTGAAGCGTTCTCTAAGCGCATCACTGCTATCGATGCCCTGCCTTTTGGTCCCGAAAAGGAGGCCGAAGTTAAGCAGGCCACAGTAGATCTCAACAACCTCGTTGTATCTACCCTGACAAAGGAAGATCTGAAAACTCGGTTTGCAAAGGTGGTCAAGGCCGTCGTGGATGAACAGAAGAAACGGCAGAAAGCCGAGAGCAAGACTGCGCTCGATACCGTATCCGCCCACTTCGCCAAGGACGAGAATAAAGAGGCTAAATACTTTATCGGACACCTGCCCATCTCCGCCAATACCAAGGCTGTTGCGGATGTCATGAACCATTTCAAGAGCAAGGACAAGGATCGGTCCGTGTACATTTTCGGTGGCAGCGAGACCGAGGGAGCTGTCGTGCATGGTGTATACGTCGGCACAGTAAGTCAAATTCACTTCCCTTATTTACTCCTAGAGAACGCTACTAACACATGTCCAGCACCTCGCGTCGCAGGGTGTGACTGCTGAGAAGTGGGCTGCAGCCGTGACTGAAGTGGTCGGCGGCAAATCGGGCGGTAAGGAGCCGACACGGCAAGGCCAGGGAACAAATGCGGACAAGATCGAGGATGCCGTCGCCGTCGCAGAGAAATGGCTTGCAGAGAAGCTGAAAATCTGAAGCATCTAAGGTCCCATCTCACCTACCATATATCGAGCTACATTGCATGTAGTTTGACAGACAAAGCTTAAGAAGTGAAGCCGGGACGGCATAAACGGGTGAAGCCCGGGAACTTCATAATTTGCTATGTGGAAAAAAGGAAAAAGGACCGCTTGAAAGGGCGCTAGCTAGGGCTACGATAGGAAACCGCAAGGCTACGTCGAAAAAGTGCCGCTATTCGGATTCTGTGTTTTCTCCCTCATAAGTCTTGACCCATATGGTAACTCGGATTGGGGGGAATGTATAAGCTATTATAAGCCTGCATACATATGTACAGACATAGAATACGCTATACCCCAAGCTAGTATAGAATTATTCATGGAGTTGGTAACCTTATGCTACTTAATTGCGGTTGTGATATTTAACAGAGTTGTCATCGTCTAAACATATACCTTTTAAGTTATGGTTGATTCAGCCAGCCATCGGATATAAGGCATATATATATATATATACACGTATGTGCCATGCTATGTTATGTCACGAGTCACGAACTAACATGACTTCTTCACCACGCTATACCGCGACGCTCCTGTTCTCATGATATAGGACATCTAGCATATCAACTAGACGTCCAGGACGGTGCATCACACATCACACCGTAACCATAACACTAGCATTCCGATACCAACTTAACAACGGATTCTCCCCGCTCTGCGTTCTCGTATCCTCCACATACGCCCACGACCGCATAAACGCCTCGTGCCCCATAACCCGCGTTAGCTTCCCCGTCAAGGCGCGGTACACGGCCTCCATAACGTGGAAGTCCGTCGGGAATAATATGTCGAAATACCCCTGGTGCACCAGCGGCGTCGACACGGGAACCGTGCGCCGCTGGTACCGCGTCTGCACTACCGGCGCGTTGAGCCCGCGCACTGCGTCGGGGAGAGTGTGGAAATCGCTCGTTACTAGTCGGTGTGCGGGGAATGCGCGCTCTAGGATATCGAAGAATTGCATCAGGCGAGTGGGGATGTACTCCGGGTCGCTGAGGTTGGGAGCGAGCGGTAGTTGCGTCTTGAGCCAGCGGGCGCCGCGATTCGTGGGGTACGGGACGCGGTACCGGCCTCCTGTCGCGGCGTGTCGCACGCGTAGGAAGCGCGCTGCGACGGGGTCGAGCACAGGCTCGTAGAACTCGTAGAAATTGCCGTGGCCGTCGATTAGCACGGTGCCCTGCAGCGGCTCCTCGGTGCGCATGTCGTAGCGCAGGACGTCGTGGGCGAAGTTGTCGAAGACCTCCATAGCTAAGAAAAAACAGGGGGACGGCACGCGGGTGTCCCAGTCGAAAATGGACTTGTTGATGATCTCGACTTTGTTGGCGTGTCCGCGGGAAGCAGCTGTGGCGAGGAGTTGCGAGTTCTGGAGGGCGGCTAGGGACGACGAGATCTCGATGATCTTGTACTTGGTGCGGTCGTAGACGGCGGGCTCGATGTCCCGGATGTAGTCGAGGATGTTGAGCATGAGGGTGCCGCGGCCGGCGCCCATCTCGTAGATGATGAGGTCGTGGTAGGGGTACGTCGTCATCAGGTAGTTGGATAGGAGGTAGCGAGCTATGGCCTCGCCGTAGTAAGGGCGGAATAGCTCGGTGGGGGTATGCCAGAGCTGGCGGGTGTCGTCGGGGCGGCCCTCGCTTTTATCCAGGGCATCTTCGAATTCTATATACCTCCGTCCCAGCTCGTCGTGAAAGGCGGGCTCGTCGCGCAAAGAGTTGAAGTCGAAGGGCTCGCCGGGGCTGAAGATGACGACTTGCTTAGAGAAGTAGCCGTAGTGGGGGTTGTATAAGCTGTCCTCTATGAAGTCGCGCATGAGCATCTTAACTTTCCGCGGGCGTTCCCTTCGCTGCCTTAGGTCGTTCGCCGTCACCGTGGGATACGTCTTATACTCCTCCGACATATCCTCGGGAAACAACTCCGTCCTTTGCTGCCAATGGCTCTCCTTCTCAGGTATCCCTTTCTTGGCCCCTCTGACCGCACTCCGGCTGGCCATGTGCCGCCTCTGCTGATGCTCGCACCGCTGTATTCTTCGGCCATGATGGAGGCAAGACGACAATGCAGCGAGATTCCTCCTGGACGGACAGGCCGGATGTCGAAATAGCTGGCGGAAGAGCTGGGCCACAATGGGGGAATCCATGGTGTGGACTTTGGAGGTTGGCTGAGGTTCAGGTTCAGGTTTTAGCGCATCGCCGAAGCTTTTTCGGATAGTTGAAAGTTGGTCCCACTTTTTAACCTACCCCGTACCGACGTACCTTCCATGCACACTTAAAAACCTTGTAGTATATTGCAAGGTTCCCGCCATGGCGTCACTGACGACGTATTCAGCCCTCTCAGCTTCTAAACGAGTAAGAAGTCACTTGACCAAAAAAAATATAAGTATCGTTATCAATTGTGTATAACCAGAAATTTTACTATCTAAGTTAAAATGGGTTTGCTATCATAGAATCGGGAATCGAAAGCGGGCTGGACTAGTCAAGATATACGAAGGAGGAAACAAAATAAGAAATATATATAAAATGTCTCTAAGCGACCATCCAAAAGCCTACGGCACCGCCGCCGTAGCCGTCGCATTCACCGCCGGGGTCTTCGTCACCCTCGGCTTTAAAGACCTGTACCCAGACTTAGAGCGGCGGTTTCAGCAGCGGGGTACACGGCGGATCCCACGCGGCGGTGGCGGCGGCGACACCCGCAGATCAAGTCTATTCTGGGGTGGTCCCGTCGAGCTCAAAGATCACGACTTACCAGAGATCATGGTCCCACGTGATGAGGGTGTCAGCGACGGCATTGAGGGGTGCATCGGGCGGACGCCGTTAATCCGGATCCATAGCCTCTCCGAGGCCACGGGGCGCACTATCCTAGCCAAGGCCGAGTTCCTCAACGGAGCCGGCAATAGTCCTAAGGATAGGGTTGCGCTTAACATGATCCAAGTCGCTGAGGAGGAAGGATTCCTAAAGCCCGGGCGTGGGGATACTATCTATGAGGGTACCGTTGGAAGCACGGGGATTAGCATTGCGGCGCTGGCACGTGCCAAGGGATACCGCGCGCATATCTGCATGCCAGATGACCAGGCTCGTGAGAAATCAGATCTACTACACCACTTAGGTGCGACAGTCGAGCGCGTTCCCGTGCAGCCTATTACGTCCCCCGAGCACTTCGTGAACCTAGCGCGGCGCCGGGCAGCAGATCACACAAACTCCAGCGCCGACTCCAGCGTCGGCTTCTTCGCAGACCAATTCGAGTCTCCCTCTAACTGGCAAGCGCACTTCAAAACCACCGGCCCAGAGATCTACGCGCAGACACACGGACACGTCGACGCCTGGGTAGCGGGCGCTGGTACAGGGGGTACCATCTCGGGGGTGGCCAAGTACCTAAAAGAAGAAGCCAAGCTCAAAAAGCTAAAGGTAGTGCTAGCAGATCCGCAGGGCAGCGGTCTATACAACAAGATCCGACATGGAGTCATGTACTCGAGCACGGAGAAAGAGGGCACACGGCGACGACAGCAAGTCGATACGATAGTAGAGGGCGTGGGAATCAACCGGATCACGGAGAACTTCGAGGCCGGGCGGGACCTGATCGACACGGCGGTGCGGGTGACGGACGAGCAGGCATGTAAGATGGCGCGGTGGCTAGTCGAAAACGACGGAATTTTCTGCGGCAGTAGCAGTGCCGTAAACTGCGTTGCTGCTGTCGTAACGGCGCTCTCGCTCCCTAAAGGTAGCCAAGTCGTCACCGTGCTATGCGATTCCGGAACGAGGCACTTGAGCAAGTTCTGGAAGCAGATCGCGGAAATGGGTCTGGAAGACGAGCATAAGCCGGATAATTTATTGACTCTGCTAGGCATCGAGGAGCCAAGGTGAGGGGGATATATCTATTTATGGTACCGGCCGATACGGGCCTAGGTTACAAAGTACATGGGATTACTAGCTTCTTGTTGGGCGAATTCCCGATCGATGTCATTGATCTATGGTACAGCAGGTTGCCTAGCATCTAAGCCACTTGGTAAGGGGGAACATATTACGTTAGCAAACAAAGCCAGCCCTCAATCTCGGAACCGCGCTGAGTTATAAAAACAAAAATTTAACTTCTTCCGGCCTGGTCAACGAATAGAGTCCTTAACTCCACGCAAACTCAAACTCAAACGCAACCAATCTCAAAAATAAAGCAACCTGGTCGTCGACCGAATCCGAGACGCCTGCCATGAGACACCTGCCATCTATGATGCCACGGCGCGTAATGCTTATGTACCTCATGCAACTTCATGAGAGGCCGTATCCATGCTACGATTTGGGAAGACCAAACTAGGTAAAGATAGGTAGATAAGCCAAGACGTAGTGATCAAGAGAACTACACGAGATAAGTCAGTACGCGTATTACTCGGAAAAATATAAGTATAAGCATAGAAGCTCTAAACCTACCTTCCAACGCTTTCCGCAGTTCATACACTCGCAGAAAGTCGTCATCGGTTCATCAGCGCTGCGGGTTTGAGCCTGCGTGTAGCTGACCATCTTCTTCTTGCAGTTGCTGCACTCAAGACTGTCGCTAATACTCTTCTCGACCATGGGGACCTGGGCCTTCTTCATGTTTTCGAGCTCGAGCTCGGCGTCGGTCTTGCGCTGGTGGGCAGACATGAGCTCCTTGGAAGTCATGACGACGAAGCGCTCGGCGGCGATGGTGCCCGACATGACGTTGCGGCCCAGCTCTGCATTGGTCTTGACCTTGAGGTTCTGGAATAAAGACCTTATCTTTTCCTTGTACTCCTTGGTCTCGCCCTTGTAGGCCTTAAAGGCGGCGTGCTCGACCTCGACGGCGCGCATGATGACGTTGTCCTCGGATTCGCGCGAACGGTACGCGAGGCCGTTGTAGAGAAGCCCGATACAGTTGTCACGGACCTGGGAGCCGGTGCGGCTAATTTCAACCTTGTCCGTCTTATAATTGCGCTTTTCTAAATCACCCTCGTAGGCCTTCTTGTTTCCCGCGAGGGGCTTCGGGGCAGGCGAAGCAGCTTTGGATGCGGGAGATACGGAACCCTTTGGTGCTTTGGCGGAATGCAGGCTCTTGGATTTCTTCTCCAACTCGATGCCTTTCTTCCACTTCGCAACCACTTCGGTCGCAATCTTGGCGATGTCCTTGTTCGCATTTCCTCGAAGCTTTCCTACGACAATGCCCGCCTTCGTAGTCTAGTAGAAATTAGTATCGGCGCAAGTAGACGAGACGGATCAAATAGCAAATGGTAGAGAGAGGGGGATGGAGGGGCAAAATAGAGTAATACTAGAACGAATAGATCTATGACTTACGCGCAGCATTTCTTCAGTCGGCGAAGCAGATCTTAGGGACTCGATAATGCCAATGATAGCAGAAGGGGGCTCATTGGACTGAGCGGCCTTGTGAAGGGCCTTTACGCGCGCATCAAGTTCTCTCTGATCCATGATAGGCAATTCGGGTGATTGTCGCGTATCGGCAAAATTGTAGAAAATAGGTAGGAATCGGCGGTGATGAGAAAGGTATTCGCAGTCGAAATCGGCGGCGAGGTGGGGAAAGGGTAGAGGTGCAGCAAGAGGCCAATGCGGTTTAAGTAGCTATCAAAATCGGTTGGCGCAGTAGGCCCCTTTGGTATGTGACGTATATGTGAGTAACTTTTTTTTCCAAACGTTTGGAAGTTTGTGTGAGCGACCTGAAAAGGTCAAACGAACAAGGCTCCGGAATAGAGAATGAAAATGTCAAGAATGAAGCTTCTTCAAAAGCCGTTCACGGGTTCTCCTTGGGCAGCCGCAACCACCTGCACCGATAGAGCCGGTGCACAGACCACTACTATATAGTATCTAATTTTGCCGGTGCTTAGCCGCTCCAGTCGTAAGATTTAGCCTTATCGATATGTAAGTCTAAATCCGCATTAGATGGAGGATGGTTGAATTGACGTTAGCTTTTGGTGTCACTTCAATTGTGTCACCTCAATTGCTTCAGCACGTGCTTCCTTTCCCTCTTCACAATCCTAACGTCAAGATTACTTCAGCTTAAATAGAATTGCGGATAACCCGCATATTACATGCATATTATCAGAACCAATTGTAGAAGCTGATCAAGCGTTCGATTTGGTTTATTATAATCCGTACAAGGTACGTATATATCTTTATATTGACATCTATATTTCCTTTTATCTTCCAATGCTTCAACAATGCGAGCATGCAGTGGGAAACAAGTCCGTTGCTGCACGAAGAACTATGAACCTATCTAAAACTACACCGCTTGTATAACTTTTGTCTCGGTTGTCTCAATAGTCCTAGGATGAACCTTTAACAGAACGAGGTAATAGCCCTAACTGAATGCAACCCCTGACAGAATAATTATGTACAAGATAGTGAGGACAGAGGGTTAAGGCTACCAAGTGAAGCAGAACCATAGAAATGACTTGTAACACTATCACACAACCCCCGGTTTAGTTCTTCGCAACCAGTTACCCCTTAGCTGATACTATACACCTATTTGGTATTGCTACCTCTAGCAATTGATTTAGGTGATCATAGGTAAGAGTGTAACCATATACTTAGGAAATGTGAGTATACCTAAGTAGGTATCTTTATTCTTCCTCTACTTAACTCTGTTTCTTACGCTGTCCTCTTTTCTTCTTCCACGTAGCAGCTACTTAGGTTGACTCAGGTACAGAAATTGGAACGTTTCCCAAGATATTGAAAGATCTACGTGTCAAATTACATATCAAGCGCCCCCTGGTTTTCGATAACGAACATGTCAAATCGAAAAGCGATACAAATATACGAAGATAAAGAAGTAAGTTTTAGTTGATGTCTATTCTCTCAAATACGGGTAGCAACATAACTAGCTAAATATTGGCAAGCTCCTCTCTGAAGAGTCCATCAAATTCCTAGGGTCACCAATTTTTGGTATATGCAAAGTCCCCTAACCACTCCAAATCACTTTACTATTCTAGAAGACGGCTCTCGAGATCCAACTCGACGAGTTTGTCCGACAAAACCAGGGCATTCAAAGGGCATTCCAAGGACTTCCAGGCAGAAAGCAGTACATAGAATACTGCGGCTATCAGCCAAATATATCCGGGTACTCAAACTCGGTGCCTGCAGCAGCAGCGTTGTCTTCGAATGCTTCATCGCCGGTTAGCTGGTAGTCAAGGTCGCCGCCGTGGTTATCCAAGAAGTCCTGGACTATGTCGATTTCCTCGGAGTCTTGAGGGCCTTGGGGGGCTTCGGGGGCTTCGGGGGCTTCGAGATCAAACATGAGTTGCTCAGCCGTAGTCGAAGTAACCAAGCCAGCGTCTTGGTGGGTAAAATTCTGGTTAACCTGAAAGTCGTTTCCAGAGTCAAGTCCGAGGTCAAGTCCGAGGTCAAGTGCGGAACTGTCCATCGGAACCTGGTTTTGGCCGTAGCTCAATCCGACCTCGTCGGAGAAGAAGTTGTTGGTAATGTCGCTCAGGTATTTGTCCCAAGAGGGCTCCAGTTCCGGAACCGATTCAACCGACGCGCTTAGGTTTCCGTTACCGTTCACAAAGGTAAAGCTCTCCTTCGTACCAGTCTTACGCCTCTTCGAAGCCGGCTCGTTTGCCATCGGCTTGTATTCCTGTGCTCCGGTGTGTCCCATATTTCCAGCCGGAATGCCCACATTCACTTCATCATTGGGTCGGGGTCGCTTGAGAGGAGTACCATGCGTGGCAGCTTCTGATGCCCACGATGCCGAGTTCTGTCCCATCGACGACATCGGCTTCTTGATCCTATCAGCCGTCGGAATTGGCTGTCCCGGAGCAAGCCGGGTAGTCTGAGGTATAATTCCTCCTCTGCTTGCTCGGCCAACAGGTTGATATATGTTCGGCGTCGCCATCTGACTCGCTTGTCCATGAACCGGCCGGGCCGGGATCCCCATATTCATGGCTGTAGGCCCGTTCTGCCCTGTATGGGTACGTTGCTGGGGCATACCTAAAGACTTCCTCTGCAACGCGATTTGGTTCTGGAAGTTCCTCGCTGCATTCAGAGCAACATTGCGATCTCCCCATGTCGTGGCGCCGTTGCCATTTGTTCTGATCCCATTAGCAGCGCCCGGCCTCGTTTTCGGCGGCATGGTTGCTTCCTGTCTAGTGTTAATCGTAGACCAAATGCCCTTTGGGGTCGAGGAAGCAGGAGTGTTGCGCATTGCCGTGCTTTGCTGAATTCCCTCACGGATGGCGGCCCGTAGAGGTGCCGATGGGGTGGTTAGAGGATGGGGGTTTTGCTGCTGAAGCAATGGACCAAACTGTGATGGTCGACGGTAAGTGTTGGGAGTAGGAAGTGCAGTGGGTGTGGCAATGGGTGTTCCATGGATACTTGCAACTGATTCTGAGCCCTGATACGATTTCGTTCCCATAGGAACAGCGGCCGGATTCGGGTAAGGAGTTATAGGTGTCGGCAGGTTTGCGGGCGAAGTATCGCCGGGATAAGCTGGCTCCTCGCTCACTTCCAAAAATCCCTTTCCACTACAATGGGGGCAGAGAACGCATTTGCTCTTTCTCTCTCGTGTGGCAGTTTGTCTCGGCTCCGGGGAATTGTTCATGACCTTGGAGACACGGTCCTTCGTAGGGTCATGGTAGATGATATTTCCTTTCGGGTTACTAAAAGTATGGGTTAATTATTTTATTTCCTTTAAACTACTCCCGCGTCGTTGAGAACTTACCCAAACTCCGCACTGCTGCCGAAGTGATCGGTGATGTACTTGATCTGAGCATATTTGACGGGGTTCTCAAAATTAGGAAATGTCCGACTAAACAGCTCAGCCGTCTTTTCGTACAACTCCCTCTTCTGTCCTCGGGGAATTGGTTTCCTCGGAACTGTCCTCTCGAGGACGAATTCGATCATCTCATCAGTGTATCTGTAGCTCGTCATGGTGCCTACAGGTTGCTCTGGAATTTTGTGTTAACCGCGGATGAAATGTGAAATGTTTTTTATTGGCGGATAGGATCTCTAGTTGAGATGACGAACATACCTTGATTGAAGAATAAATTTTGTTGTGGTCTGATTTAATCAGAAGGGACTCGAGTTGGGAATAGCAAGCAACGTTTTTGAGGTTTGTCTAGTAAGTGACTTCCGTCGGTACTTGCCGCTCTGTGGTGAAGAAGAGAGGAACGAAAAGCGAAAACTCCTTGATTTTCTACTTCTTTAAATAGTAATCAATTTGTCTCCTCGGGTATGGTTTAGTATATTCGACGGTGCTTGTCGAGGGTGCTTGTCGAGCTGATAGTAGGTGTGCAGATTGAATTGATAATCTGACTGGACAGGATTGGATGAATGTCCCTAGTGGGGAAATAATAAAACAAAAGTTGAATGAATAATATGTAATTTTAGAGGTAATTGTCGTAGGTTGAAAAGTGGTGACGGTTTTTTAGATTGGCGAGACTACGAGCTGAACCTTTGAGAATAGGTGTATTTTCGACGCAGATTGTATTGTGAATACGTAGAAAATAGAGGGGGAATAGTTAGAATTTCCTTTAGAAACGTGAATGCGGATTTGAATTGTGCGCAAGTAGTTGGTGGTTGGTGGTTGCGAAGATTTTAAGGAATCAAGTGCACGAGTACCTTAGGAAGCATTGAACCCCCGTACCTGACGACGTTCAAACAATGTCACAAGTCGAGGTAGCGGTAATTCACAGGCTTACCGCCGCATAGCTAAATTATTAAATTCCACAAATTTCGAAAGGCATGGCCATATCGGTTATGCTACGAAATTTCTATGACTCTATTTCTAAAATATAAAGATGGGCTATTTGAATTTTGTTTTCTATTCTCTACTGACAGTCAAGTATCTATAATATGAAATTAATAACTACTTTATTACAACACAAAAATGAATAACAGAAAAATGCCACTTGATGTAGACATATGCTAGTTTGTTTAGCAGAGTCATAACCTTTGCGGTATTCGTAGTGGTAAGAGTTTACGTAACCAATAATTAGGGGCAACAGTAAACAAATCAAATCAAGATCCAAGTGAATGTAATAACTAGTCTACCTAGCGCATAATTCCTATAGGGGGTAATCCTTCACGAATATAAAGCAGCTATCCGTATAAAGGGAATATCGGTAAGGAGTCATAACAAGTGAATGGGTAATTACGCCAACTAGTTACCAATAACAATACCTATCCAGGATAATTTCCTCGAGACTTAATGCCTTCAAAAATCCATGCAATCACGGATATTTATAGATGATAGATGATCACAGGGTAAAGTGACTGGACATTACATCTTCAATCTCTCGCTTGAATTATGTTCTCTATTAGGAGGGATCGGTGGTAAGAATTATGTAGTCTCTGAAATCTTGTTAGATATTTACGAGGAGGCTATTAAAAATAATAGGTAATTAGACAAGATCGTAGCTGTCACTCAAGCTTTACGCCCTTTTAGGGGGTTATATTAGTTCACGTGATCTTATCATATCCAATAGGATCACTGGAGTATATAATATATTCCCCTAGGTACAGCATAAAAACATTGTAAGCGAATTTTATATATTTTTCGTCAGTATACTGAACTAGGTTGAGAAGAGACCATGATCCCGATAGGAGGTGGGAGTAAATGGAGTAAAAAGAGAAAGCTAGCAAGCACACTTTGTGGAGTAACTCGAGTAGGGCTGGGTTAGCCCTGAGTCCTAATAAACTGATCATAGGTATATAGGTATATGGGTAGGTATATAAGAAGCAGGCCGAAGGAGCCCCTGAATATCCTAAGATAAAATAGAGAACGATAATTCAACAATTAGCTGGCTTCAAGGTTCTTAGTCGTACAAAATTTATGAGGATAAATCTAAGTCTATAACTTTACCTTGATCATTTCCGGATCTCTCCGCATATCCTTCACCTCCTTAAAATCCGTAGTCTGACCAACCCTCCAGCTAATGTCTGCCGCCGCGGCATCGCTCCCCTCTTTCCACCGCCAGCGCGCGTTATCTTGACGTCCTTTCTCCACTACGTCCTTCACCCACTTCCCAATAATTGGCAGCATCTTGAACGCATGTGCCGAGTCCCCTGTAACTACGACCAGTCCCTTCTTCCCCGGCACCAAGTCGATCACATACTCGCTATCCGCCGTGTCCGCACACCAACACACCCGTCTCCCGATCAACGGCCTGTCCGCCAGCTCAGGTAATGTCTCCCGCAGCAGCCGCCTTATCATGGCTTCGTCGGCGGCGGGTATAAACGCGTTGTCGTCCGGCGGGAGTGACAGACCGGACGGTGTATCGTAATTGGTATACCCCGCCATAGAAGGGCAGATCTTCAGCAGATTAGTGCGGCGGTCCGGCTCGAAGAAGAATCCTAAGTCTCGCGCATACGTCACGGGAATGCCACGCAGCCGCGCCGCTTCCTCGGGCGTGAGCTGTATATGGGCTAGAGGCGAAGCTTTGGCGACCACCTGTCTCTTAATCTGAGGCAGGATCGAGCCAAGCGATGCTCCGAGTGCGAGGATTGTCACGGAGGCGCTGTGGTGCTTGCCACCGGCGGTAATCGCACCTGTGCAGATATCCCCTGAGTATGTTAGGGCTTGGACCGCCGAGTTAAGGTGGATTTTCACGCCCAGTGCGATACATGCCGAGTATACAGCCGTTAAGGAGTCAGCTGCGGAGGCATATCCTGCGAAACTATTAAAGTAGCCTTTCCATTGCATGGGGCCACTGAAGGCAGGGGCAACTTTGCGGATATCGTCCCGCGAGATGACAGGTGTGATTTTGTTCTTAAACGCTGGATGCTGACTGATAGAGTCAAGCGCCTTCTGGAGAGACTTCTTGGACTTCTCAGGGGCAGCAGCCGAGTTGCAGAGCAGGTAGCCTGTCTCGTGATAATACGGTGCGAATAGGGGAGATTTCCAGGCAGCCATAGCCTCAAGGGCTAGCTCGGCGTAGAAGGGGTCTTCATACTCGGCGCGTAAGATTTTATTCAGGTCGTTACCGGCAGAGAGCTCTGGAGGGAAGGTGGCAGATTTCTCGAGTATAGTTATGTTGGTGTAACCGACCTTGGCGAGATGATAAGCTGTTGACAGACCGAAAGTGCCGGCACCTAGTATGAGGATTGAGGTTTGTTTGTCCATCTCTATAACTGGTAGCGGTGTTCAAGTAGCGATATGATCCCAGAGGCAGTCTTTAGGAATCCATATCTCTGGGAATTCATATTGAAATATTCCCTTCTTTTACTCTCATTTCGTCGATGAGGAGTAATCCATAGCTGCCTTCCATCGGAGCGGTTTCGGGAGACCTTCTGACGACCTCGGACATTTTTACGTATAGTTAGTCATCTAATAGTTGTCTGATACACCTTGGGATCCTGATGTCAATAAGTCGACTGTCAAGATGGGCTAATTCAAGGTTTCATCATTCGACATTTGCGATTGGTATATAGAATAGAGGAAACGGCAAGCGACGTGCATATGCCAAGGTTATTATATCGTGGGGAAGTGGAGAATTATATTAGTTGGAGAAAATGGAGACACAGTGCGACGAGCTAGAGCTACATCAGGGATGCGGCATGCCAGGTTGGGGTAAGGAAATGCCGAATGCCAGGGGTAGGTGTAACCTTACTATGTACACGAGAATAATAACCGAGATTAGTTATCGCCGTTATCTTTACCTTAGCACTTCCACATATCCACTAGGTTAGTCTGATAACAAACGATGTAGTCCGAATTGGAGAACAACCGTACGGTATCTACCTATCTACATACCTAGGTAGTGTAAAGTCGGGGTCGAGGCGCGAGTGGAGTAGCGTTGATGGACTGCCCCGACTTTACGACTCCTCTCCTGAGTCCTGACAGATGGTCTGGATCCTGTCATTATGAGATACCCGCAAATCCTAGGTCTATAGCAAGGCCGCGGCGATCCATGCATCATAATAACCTACTGCAATCAATCTCACATTGCTATCACTATTGGCTCCTGTCTGCATCAGAGGAGAATGACATCCCGTACGAAGAAAGAGCTGCGAACACGGAGCGGCTGCCGGAAGTGTCGAGGTGAGATACCACCCTCTTCATTGCTCCTCTAGCTAGAAACCCCTGACATGTTGCTTTAGAGCGACGGGTTAAGTGCCCAGAACAGCGCCCTATATGTGGACACTGTAGAAGACTGGGTTTCACTTGCCGGTACGAGGTCAAATTAAGCTGGCAACATGTCGTCTTGTTTGAGGAGTACAACGGTCATGTTCCACGGGGACTACCTGAAGACCTCTTGTTCTCCATTGAAAGTTGGATGTTCCTGAATACAGTTCAGGCCGACTTCAATTCACACAATGCTCAAACAGGCTTCAAGGACCAAGTAGATTCCCCTTCGACCCGGGCTAAAGATATCCAACCCGAGGTAGACATACTTGCACCATACCCTCACTACCTTTCTCCATTTCGTATGGGAGAAGCTGAGGGTTATCTTTGGAGTTACTTCAACGACTGTATGACTCCGCAGATCGTCATAGACCCTAGCTTCAACCCGTATAGAGATATTATTTTAAGGATGGCAGCCTATTCCCAAAATGGGCCTCTATTCCATTGCGTGTTAGCTGCCGCTGCAAATCAGTTACAGAGTACCGGCCGCAACGAATATGAAAACGTCATGTGGCTTCACAGAGCCAAGGCATTACGTCTCCTAAGGACCTCTATTAGCCAATTAGCTTTGGAAGAAGCATACGAAATGAGTTGTGATACTTCTAAAGATCAGGTCATTGCATCGACTATCATGTTAACCTTCTTCGAGGTAAGTGAGAAATGTAGCGATAAGTTATAATAATTATACGATGCTAATTCATTGGAGAAGATTTCAAAGGACTGCTCGGATTCATGGACTGTGCATGCCGACTTTGCGCGTAGTTTTCTCTCTTCCCGTCTGAGAGACCGCGGTAGTCTGAACACAGAGCAGGAGGCCCTGCTCTATTTTGCTGTAACCTACTTTGTTTCGCACGATATTCTCGCAGCAACTGGGGGCACGCTTATGGAGGCGATTGAGATGGTTACTGGAATGTGCAAATCGGTGGATAAGTCAACTGTCCTAGCACTGACCGGTTGTTCAAGAGACCTGCTCATCCTAATTTCCGAAATTAACCAGATGAGTTCTCTAATTGGAGAGTCAGGTCGGAAGCAGCTTCCATCCATGATACAACAACGTCGGGACAATGCCGAGAGGTTTCTTCACCAATTGCACCAAGATATTCCTGAAGAATTTGGATCATTTCAATCCGAGTTTGCTATCGTTGCTGAGGTAAAGCGACTGGCGGCTATTTTATATCTCTATTCGAGAATCGATGGCGCTGGGCCGCATGAACCACACATGGTCCGAGTGACGTCCCAGATTCTATCCCTTATCCCTAAAATTTCCCTCCGCACCCATACGGGTCTTTGGCCTCTATTCATAGTAGCTACATTAGGCATCCGCCCGGAATGCGATGAAGACAGGAAGCTGCTCCTGGGTCGACTCGCTGCGCTTCAACAAACGAGGCAGCTGGCGAGCGTGAAGAAAGCCAGATTGATCATCGAAGACGTATGGAATTCTCGAGACCTGCGGCCCAATGAATCACAAGGGTGGAGTATCTTACAAGGGAGGAGACACGGTGCTATCAGCTTGGCATAATTTATTGCTATGTATAGGTAACCACCTAGTACGAGAGAGCACTCTTACACAAACCCAGAACTCGACGAGCCATTTCATTACCAACATGTCGCGACCTCAATGACCATCTCTAGTAACCATCCCTCGGCCTCAACTCGATACCGCCAGGGAACTTTAGGTGGTGTAACGGAATTCGCGCTGTTTCTTATCTGTAATATCGACAAAGCCCTCGTTGGTACCTTCGTGAACCTCCTCCGGCTTGCCATACTTACGGTCTCTGCGCTTGTTCTCCCAAGATCCGACAAGCCAGTATACCATAAGAATCAGCATGCAGGCGCAGTAACTGACTAACATGGCTATTACGCTGGTAGCGTACTTGGGCGCTTCGTTGCTTCTGAAGGTCTGGGGACCAATGAGATTTCCTGCAGCATATCCTATTGTCGCAAGACTATACGTCACCGCCTTTTTAGTCACTAGATTTCGAATGTTAGCGTTCAACTCTGATTTTGGGGATTTATCTGCGTCGGGATTCGGCTAATGGATTTGGGGGTGATCACTTACTACCAGCAGTGTTTGCTTGAATAAGGGATATAGCAACAACATAGGGCGCTATAATTATCAATAAGTATGGCCCACAGGAACGCATCAAGTACTGAACTTACGCCAGTAGAAATACATAAAGTATAGTCCCACCATTTGGCCAGGGACGTTTGTTCGCGGTAATCCATATACCAAGGCCGTTCCGAAAATAGGAAGCAGCAAGGCTAGAGCCGCAGTTAGGGCCCGCCGGTTATGCCACTTTGCAGCGATATATGAGAAACCCCAAGCACCACCCGTAGCTAAGACGCCGAATGGCATCGTCAAGAGACTGGATACCAAGGGGCTGTAACCCAAGTTGTTAATGATGATCGATCCGAAGGCTTGGAGGCCGCCATTAGGGATGTTGATAACAATATTGAACAAGACAATGAGCCAAACTTTAACATCGATAAGAGCTTCCCAAACCTGATCCCACTTCCATACCCTGTTAGCGATGCCGGTTCGGTTCGCAGCTAACCGTTGTGTGGCGTGGTATCTTTGCTCCGGAGTGAGGAAAAAAGCATTCATGGGACTGTCGGGCAGGACAAACCACAAGAAGAGCGAATATATTACGTTGATCGAGCCGGTGAGAAGATACAGATACTGCCATTTCAGTAACGGGGCATCGTCGGGGATATATCCTACAACCCAAGCGAAAAAGCCGTTGAATATTGACGAGAAGTATGCAAAGATGACTGAAGAGTTAGAAGCATTGGCTATTTTAGAGGGGCTTGATACTTACTTCCGTTCCTCGGAGGCTGCTCCTCCTTTTTATAGAAAGACGCGACGAGTACCGTGAAGCAAGGAGTTGAGACTGCTTCAAGGAATCCCAACAAGAAGCGCAAACCCATAAACCCAGACCACGTTCTGCACGGCGCATACATGAGGGTGCAGATGGACCACAGTAGGGAACCAGTTGCTAGCAATTTTCCTGGAGGAAATCGCTGGATCAGATAGGAGGTTACTAGTAAGCCAACTAGTGTACCTAATGGCAGAATACTACCCAACCAGCTGTATTGCTGGCCCACCATGCCATTGTCCTTTTGAAATCCGTATAGGGAAGCCGTTCCTATTTCCACTTTATCGACGGCAGATAGGGTCGCACAGAATACTAGCTGTAGGGAATAACGTCAACGTAAAGTTCTACTAGAACATTGATCTAAGTATTTGAAAGGGAGTTCTCATCGAATAGGACATACTAAAGGAATCATCCAAGCATCAATCTTTTTCACAATCTTCCTCTCCTGCTCAGGAGTCATGGGCCCGAATTCTTCATGATTAGCTAGATACTTTGCTGCCTCATCTAAAGCTCGGTCATCGACTATCTTTGCGGTCTCGCCGACCACGGCCGAAGTGACCGGCTGGACAGACTCATCCCTCTTAAAGTCTAGAGACATTATGTCGAACGATAAGTAGAGTTGAGATGAACAATGCTGCTGGGACGATTTTCAAAAGCGGCAGATGTCTGACGCATATCCACTCCAAAAATATCCGATTCATTTCCAAGGCTTTATAGACGGGACGAGCCTACGACTCTTCTCGATGGTACGTGGAGCTTATCAGTCTAGGATTGGTGTCGCCAAACCGCAGATAGGCTTTGGGCTTGAGCTACTGATTCCTTGTACGACTCCACATCTCTCTCTCCTCGTGGCCGTTGCTTCTATCAGCTATCGAGAATCTTCAGTACTAACAGCTGACAGGACCTCCCCTGTCCTATATTCATCGGGATGAGCTAACACACGTCTAACCCACCTAAGCCAAAAGTAGAATGCTATCCTACCTTAAAATCAACCTAGCTTTGTTCTGATCCACCACCAAGATATTATCAATGGGGTAACTATTTCGGGAGAATTCGTCAAAGATGATTGGCCAAACCCGTATCGGAAGTGACCCGTCATTCGGACTAAAAATCCGGGAGGAAGCTCGAATCGACGAGCGTCTGTCTCCGAAGCCTAGTGTCGACTATTTGCGCCGCACTGTGCTTATAATCGTGGAGAAACCATTTGTCGGATTGAAGATCCACCAACCAGCTAGGGATCATGGAGTTGATATGGAGATTGTTGATAATCGCAGAGTAACCTATTGATATCCCCCAAAGTTACTGTGATGCGTAGTCCAGCTGGAAGCCGTCAGCTGATATGTCGAAAACTCGAAGGCAATTCGAAACGACGGTACAAGTTATCGGAGTCTTGTCACCGGATGTCAACTCGCTTCCGGTGCCGGACCATATCCGATTCTTCATCACGATGGTGTAGATATATATCAATCCGAGCTCCCTCGAGCTTATCAGCATCCATGTATTCGTTATACAGAGCCATCCACCAATCTCATATATATCCCTAGCCAAAATGGCCGTCGGATCGATACCTACGGCAGTAGAGCCAAAAAGCGTGAAGTTCGCTATCGGTTAGTTAAACTAGGTCTCTTTCGAGATTTATAGCTAACCTCCCCCGCAAGACCGAGGTGGTACATTCACAGATGTCTTCGCTGCTGTACCGGGGCGGGAAGACATAGTCCTTAAGCTATTATCCGTCGATCCCAGTAGTTATGACGATGCACCAGCAGAAGGTATTCGCCGGGTCCTGGAGACTATCTCCGGCAAGCCGATTCCCAGAGGGGCTCCAATTCCCAAAGACCTGATCCATTCTATTCGAATGGGAACAACAGTCGCTACGAATGGTGAGTCCCTAGACCATCTTATCCAGATCTGAAATACTCATTTTCTATAGCGTTGTTGGAACGGAAAGGAACAAGACATGCGTTCGTTGTCAATCAAGGCTTCGGTGACTTATTAGAAATTGGGTACCAGTCTAGACCAAAGCTGTTTGAGCTTGGCATCAAAAAGCCTGAGTTGCTCTACAAGACAGTAGTTGAGGTATCCGAACGTATCACAGTTGAAGAGTTCGACGAAGATGTTACAAGAGATAGTCGCCCGCCACTCCAGGAGATCCCTGGTGTCCTAGTAAAGGGAATCACCGGCGATATCTTGCGTATCATCCGTCCCTTAAATGAGACGGAAGTACGGGAAAAGCTAGCAAAGATCAAAGCTGAGGGTATAGAGACACTTGCTATTTGCTTAGCGCACTCGTATCTCTACCCGAACCACGAGAATCGCATCGCGGAAATCGCCAAGGAGATGGGCTTTACTCACATCTCGACGTCTTCTTCGGTCGGCGCGAACATGATCAAGATGATCTCACGTGGTAGCTCCGCTTCCGCTGATGCATACCTCACGCCAGAGATCATCCGCTACGTATCTGGCTTCGCAAAGGTCTTTGCTGACGGGAACCTCGACGGCGTCTCGTGCGAGTTTATGCAATCAGATGGTGGGCTAGTAAGCCACAAGAACTTCAACGGATTGAAGGGTATTCTTAGTGGTCCTGCCGGAGGTGTAGTTGGCCATGCTAGAACGTCGTTTGATGGAACCTCTCCAATCGTCGGCTTCGACATGGGTGGTACGAGTACGGATGTCTCCCGTTATGGAGGCTCTTTCGAGCACGTTTTCGAGACGACGACTGCCGGTGTCTCAATCCAATCCCCGCAGCTCGACATTAACACAGTAGCTGCTGGTGGTGGTTCTATGTTATTCTGGAGAGATGGGTTATTCAAAGTTGGGCCTGATAGCGCGGGCGCTCACCCAGGGCCGGCTTCGTATCGAAAAGGGGGGCCACTTACGGTATGTCATATTCCACATCACATCACATCTCCAGTCTCACACAGGAATACTTTCCTAGAGAGTGTAAACTAAACTCTGGATTCATTAACACGCCGAAACTCTCAATTGATTTGGATAGAAAACTAATCACTAATAATTAACTCAGGTTACCGACGCAAACCTATTCCTTGGGCGATTAATACCCGATTATTTCCCTAAGATCTTCGGTCCCAGTGAGAATCTTCCACTCGATATCGATATCGTGGTACAGAAGTTCGAGAAGCTCACAGCACAGATAAATGCGGACACTGGACGCTCGATGACCCCTCTCGAGGTTGCTCACGGCTTCATCGACGTAGCAAACGAGTCTATGAGTCGCCCCATTCGCGCGCTTACAGAAGCAAAAGGCTTCGAAACTCAGCAACACGCACTTGCAACTTTTGGCGGTGCCGGCGGCCAACATGCCTGTGAAATTGCAAAGAAGTTGGGCATCAAAAGGATAGTTATCCATAAGTACTCCAGTATTCTTTCGGCGTACGGTATGGCGCTGGCAGAAGTTGTCCAGGAGGCGCAAGAGCCAAGCTCTGAAATTCTGTCTGAAGAATCCCTGGGTCGGCTGATGGTCCGGATGCAGGACCTCAAAGTGAAGGTTACCGAAGGGCTCCTCGTCCAAGGAATTCAAGAGGCGGCTATCGAACATGAACAGTACCTAAACTTGAGGTATCAAGGCACCGATACTAATTTCATGATATTGGCTCCTATTGACGGGGACTGGAGAGCGGCACTCGAAAAGGAACATCTAAGAGAGTTGTCATTCGTTTTCCCTCATGATAAGAAAGTCCACATTGACGACGTGCGAGTACGGGGTGTTGGAAAGAGCACTGAAGTTAGCCATGACAACTCGAAGCTGGTGAAGGAGTTGAAGTCTAACTTCTCAGAAGTTAAAGAGGGTGAAGACAGAACTGTAAGCTCACCGTACAACCCTAGATTCGGCATCGACATCAACGTCGATCGACGTATCATTGTGCATGTTACTAACATTTCATAGACGCAAGCCTACTTTGCAGAAGGCGGACTGCAACCGACGAAAGTATTCCGGCTCAATTCAATAATTCCAGGCAGCATTGTAACTGGCCCGGCAATAATCATCGACAACACCCAGACTATAGTAGTCGTTCCAGGATCCCAAGCACGAGTCCTGACTTCTCACGTTGTCATCAACCTAATCGATGAAAAGCCTCAGCAGTCCCAAGAAGAGCAGGAGCTAGTAGTCGATCCCATCAAGCTTAGCATCTTTGGCCACCGATTTATGAGTATCGCAGAGCAGATGGGAAGGGCACTTCAAAAGACTAGCGTTTCGATCAATATCAAGGAACGGTTGGATTTTTCATGCGCCATCTTTAGCCCGGACGGTCAGCTCGTTGCTAATGCACCTCACGTTCCTGTTCATCTGGGAAGCATGTCGTATGCCGTCAAGTATCAACACAACCTCCATAAAGGCAACCTGCGTCCGGGAGACGTGCTGGTCACTAACCATCCGGAGGCTGGCGGTACTCATCTTCCAGGTAAGCCTCACGTTATTGTGACCGCTTGATTATTCTAACAATGGATAGATATCACCGTCATCACCCCTGTGTTTGATACGGATGGGGAGACGATTTGCTTCTACACAGCCTCTCGTGGCCATCATCTAGATATTGGTGGGTACCGTGGAAATTCTATGCCACCGTAAGTGAAATTATGCTGAACTGGTTTAATCCGCAATTACTGACACCAAGATAGCGACTCGACCGAGCTATGGCAAGAAGGCGCTGCTATCAAGTCTTTCTTCCTGGTCCGTGACAACTATTTCGATGAAGATGGCATTGTTAAGATCCTCCTTGAGCCTGGGAAATACCCCAATTCTAGCGGCTCGAGACGTTTGGCTGACAACTTGTAAGTTATCTATACTCCATATGCAAACGTCGTAATATTAAAATAAATGCGGTTCTATTTCTAATATCGTAGATTTCATCAACATAAATGCTAACCCTTAACTATAGGTCAGACCTCAAGGCACAAGTGGCCGCAAATACTAAGGGAAGTAACCTCATCAAGGCCCTCATGGAAGAATACGGCAAACACACCGTACACTTCTACATGACCAAGATCCAAGAAAACGCCGAGGTCTCCGTTCGCAACTATCTCAAGTCTGCATATAAGAGATACGGATCAAAGCCGCTCAAGGCAAAACAATTCTTGGATAATGGGTCTATGATGAAAGTCTCAATAACCATCGACGAGAGCGGATTCGGCACCTTCGATTTCACTGGCACATCCTGCGAGATGCTATCAAATATGAACGCGCCGCCGGCTATTACTTACTCGGCGTTAATCTACACACTCCGACTCCTGATCGGTTCGGATATCCCGCTAAATCAGGGATGCCTCGCACCCACCAAAGTCATCCTTCCCAAGAACTGCTTCCTGAACCCCTCGTCTGGACCAGCTGTCTGCTGCGGAAACACACTTACATCGCAACGACTAGTCGACCTTCTCCTCAACGCCTTCCGCGCAGCATCCGGATCCCAGGGTTGCATGAACTGCTTCGGCTTCTTCGGCAACTGCCACACCGACTCAGACGAGCCGCAATCCGGCTTTGGGTTCAGCTACGGGGAGACGATCTGTGGCGGGGAGGGTGCGGGCCCGACGTGGCACGGCGCGTCGGCTGTGCAGATCCATATGACGAACACACGGACGACTGATGTTGAGATCATTGAGAAGCGGTACCCCGTTCTAGTGCGCGAGTTCTCGATCCGCAAGGGAAGTGGCGGCCGTGGGAAATTCAACGGTGGATGTGGCATCATCCGGGATTGGGAGTGTCGCCATCCGCTGACGTTTGGCCTGATCACCGAGCGTAGGGTCCATAGGCCGTATGCGATGATGGGCGGCGAGCCCGGCGCATGCGGTGCGAATTACTGGGTCCAGAGGCTGGAGGATGGGAGTGAACGGTGGATAAATATTGGGTCGAGGGGGCAGGTCGATATGAAGGAGGGGGATAGGTGTGTTATACATACCCCTGGAGGAGGTGGTTGGGGCGTGCCGGAGGGTGTTGGGGAGGAGGAGGAGGATGATGATGATGATGATTGGTTAGGTGGGGGTGTTGGAGTGGTGAATGGTGTTGACGGGAACGGGACGAATGGGGAGGCTAAAGTTGTGTATCCGAGGGCGGCGGGGAGCTTTCATACGTTTGCGGCAGCGCAAGAGGCGTCGTCTTGAGTTACGGATGATTCATGGTTAGGAAGACTTGAAAGTTGGTACATGTCGTCGTATATACTTTCAGTCTAGTGTGAGGATTGGATAGGAAATATTGCTATCATAGGATCTTATCTTGCCCCCTTGCATCGATATTTTGAGAAAACTGGGGAGCGATATTCCGTAGTCTACCTTCTATTATCCCTTTACATCGGCCTATCAAGTATCTATCAAGTCTTTATAATTCTATGCGTATGGGTTCAACCTCAGGGCGGAGTACGCTTGCCGCTAGTTGCTGTTACTGTCTCCCAAAAACAGCCCACCAGCATTCTATTCCCGAATCCTCACCGTCCTCATCCCAGTCATCTTGGCCAACCAAGGTGTGCTGCTCTAGCACGCTTAGCCCAGAGACAATCATAATGGACAGGAATTTTGCGGCCAGTTTCTTGGTGGTCAAGTCTCGCTGAGGTACCATTACAATGGCCCTGGCATCTTTGTCTTGGGCTAGGTGCGCAACTATCGCAGAGGATAGGAGCTCTGGGTGGTCATCGTCGTACAGAGCATCTGCGGCAAGGACAATCTATACCGAATTAGTTATTAGGGGTATATAGGGGGTAGGATTAGCTTACTTTGAATTGGTTCTTGGAATTAAATCGCTCGGTGTTGCCATCTTCGGAGCCCCAAGTTAAAACACCCGAATCAACCTTCCCTCCCAGGGTCTCGATAGTGCATCTATTCCTCTCCATGTTGTAGGCTAGGTTCGGTACGATGGTTGGGAGGTCAGTCAAAACCACGTTGGTTTGCCAAATGGCAGCAGCAGCCATTCCCAAGAGCCCTGTTCCCGACCCCAATTCTAGAACATCTAGGGATTCATTCGAACGTCCCAAGTTGAGTATATGGGAAAGGGACTCTTTCGCAATGCCGCCTAACGACTGTGCAAGCAGATATGAGGACCCCCAGGTTTTCAAGCCGAGAGAATCGCCAGTGATGGGAGGCTCCCGAATGACTAGCTCGAAAGGAGACGATGCTTGGTCCTCAAGGGGCCATCTTCGCGTGATCTCACCCATTCCCGCTCTACCGCAGCGTTCTGCAAGGCGCCGGCTTGCCTCATCCCACACCGCTTCCTTCTCGTCTTCGTCCTGGATCCACGCAAGACCGCTCTTGATTATGCTAGACAGATACGCAGCAACCTCGCGACGGAGCTGGGCAGCATTGTGGTAGCTCTCCAGTATGACCTTTCGAGAAGTGCCAGGATTCCAGATCGGAGGTTCAACCTAGTTCAGAAGTGAGCTCTCGCTAGTCTCTTCGGTAGACATTGCTACTCGTCAGTTTTACCTGGAGCTGTTTGAGAGCTGTCAGCAGTTCCTCGGACGAGGGCTTCTGCCAGGTCTGGGGAAAGTCTGCTACGCAGATCGACATTATGTTCTATTGATCGCGGAGGATACCGTCTATAGGATTCTAGAAAAAAACACACAAGGAGAAAATGAATGACTTGACCCTGTCACCTGAAGAAAGACATTACAATGGTTCTACGGAGATCGTTCGTTGACATGGTCTATAAGATTTAGATTTCTGTCGTCTAGGGGAAGTAATGGAAGGATGAGCAAAATTTCGAGAGTGTACCGGTGATGACATATAATGGATGAGTCTAGCCAGGCATGCCTACGATAACATAGCTACCAATTAGGGACAAACGGGGCTTTTCTGACCAAGCCCTTTGTTGGAAAGGGAAAGAGAAAGAGAAATGAGAAAAAAAAAAAAAAAAAAAGATAAGCCACGTCTGGATCCTTAAATGATTCAGCCAATAAGGTTAAGGGCATGTTCTCATGAATCAAGACCGGGAGCATGAGTGACCCGACCTATGCCCCGCTCCCCACCTGACTTCACCTAACCTGTGCAGGGGCAGTTTGTGTGAGAGACCTGACATGACCTGACCTGTGTAAAAGTTCAGTAGACCTATGGAATAAAGTTCATCTTACCTATGGACCAACTTAGCCATTTATAATCTAATTGATCAGTACTCATTAAGTACTCAATTAAGCACTTATTGTTGGCAGGTGGCCCACGTCACGATCGTAAGTTACGGATTGAGGCATTAAGGGAAGGAACGAGGCCCCAAGGCCGGATATATAAACAGACAGACCTTAGTAAGATATATGGTCCAACTTAGCCATTTCTAATTGATTAATACTCACTGACTAAGTACTCACTAAGTACTCACTGAGTATTCATTCTATCCGATATTATTTTGGTTTTTTACAGCGGCTATTATAGTACTCATTAAGTACTCAATGAGTACTCTATAATGATTAGCTATTTTTTATTGCTTAAGTCATTACCTATTATAATCGCTATACAGCAATTACGCTTTATATATTATGCGATACCTATACAGATAAATATACCTTATAAAAATTCGCTAAATGGTAAGGGTCCATAGGTTAAGTGAACTTTATTCCACAGGTCTACTAAACTTTTACACAGGTCAGGTCATGTCAGGTCTCTCACACAAACTGCCCCTGCACAGGTAGGGTGGGGAGTGGGGCATAGGTCGGGTCACTCAGTTCCCCATCAAGACCTTGAAATGATTTAGCTTTAGCTCTAAGGTACCTAGGTACAATACGTAGAGGTTACCTGATTACCTAAGGGTTGCCTAATTTTAATTGGCTGTCTGCTAGCTTTATCGATAAGCCCACCATAATTTTGCTATGACTCGAAAAAGCAGCCCGCCGAAATTCATTCTTGCTTTCTTTTTTTTTCCTCAAGCATCGCCCTCACCAACGCTGCGTTTCTGAGCTACAAAACAGAGAAGCCGCGCGAGCTGCTTCTCATCGGGTTTCTGTCTTCAGACCGATATTCCCCCGCTCATGAGAAATTCGGAGTATTCTTCATCACCACCTCGTCGCCCGCCTAGCTGCGGGATCGACAGGTCTGCCCGCGAGGGTCTGGCGTGATGGTTTTATTATTACACGTCTGCAATACTGGCATCAGAGACGCAGGGCCCTTCGCCCCGTGTATATCCGCAAGGAGAAGACGGGGGAGTTGTGGTTCCTATGGGAGAGCCGTTGCGGAGATTGTGTGTGAGAACACTTGAGTGCGATACGCGGCGTGGGATTGTCTGTTTCTTTCGGGGAACGGACGCCTACAATTCGATTCCGATTACTCTGGTGAGGGCGATGCTTCACTATCTTTTTCTTCAAGGTTAGTCTTGTACTAATGCTAATGCTAATGTCGCATTCCCCCAAGTTGAGGATACTGCTAACGATACGTCATATTATGATTGTGAAATAATCGCCTCAACAGAATTGAGATTAAGAAGCCTTTCAGCTATTCGTCTAGGTCTATCCTAACGTAACACTCGGGCCCTCATCATCATTACCATCCCCATATGTCTCTTGATCGGGTATTTCCTGCTCCTGATATGTTGGTTCAGCTGTGACCGGACCGTTATCTTCGCCTTCGCATGAGATCTTCATAGTCTCCCTCTTATCAAATCGATGTAGGACCTTGGCATCTGGATTTCTCGCGTCTACCAGCTTCTCCAAGTCCGACGCCTGCGTGACCAGATCTGCACAAGCAACATTACTAAACATGGACTTCCCAGCCAACAGTAGAACGCGATCTCCAGTTACCTGAATCTTCTCTAAGGCGAGGTGCCGAGGATCGTGATCAGAGGGGCTGCCCAGCGGATGAGATTGAATGAATGCCTTTGCAGCCTCTTTGGCTTGATCCAGGCATGTCTCCAGTTTCATCTTCTGAATGGTGAACTGTTCGTCATCTTGGTTTTCACCATTCTTGTACTTGCTGTTGTGTTCGGTTCTCTTCTGCCATATTCGCTGAAGGACATCATCGTTGACGTAATACTTGACCGCCTTCACTTCTGCTTCGAACTCGTTCTGAAATGCGATCCAGAATCTCTTACTCTCTTTGATCTGAAATGCCAACTGTCTGGCAGCGAGCGAGACTTTCAACTCTGCGTTAATAGCCGTGGTGGTCTCCTCTTTGGAGGTTGTTGGGGCGGGAGTGACTGGACGACTCCCTCCTGGGGCTTTACCTCCCGACCTTGATGATGACTTGAACCGCGTTATTGGTCGATCTTCGTCGGCCTTTCCATGGTGATCGTCTGAATCATTACCGTGATAGCCACATGGGTGTTGGAAGTATGTAGTTCCGTTTGGGCTATACGACTCTGATTTTGACGAATGTGGACGGGAGAACGAAAGAGGCACACTGTCTATGTGCACTCCTCCCCGTCGATTATAGGAGGACCGCCGTGACTCTCCGTCGTCAATGTCGCTTCCAGAAGGTCTTCCCATAATGCATTTAGGAACAATACCATTCACGTTGAGGAAAGTTGACGCATCTAATGAGCTTTCAAGGCGATCCTCCCGTATTTTGTAGCTTGGAGGTTTGCTAAAAGGTGCTAGCGCTAGGTCTATTATACATACGATATGATGCTTGTTATTTGTTTATACAGCACACTTATAGTTCTATTAAGCAGTTTGGATATATCTGTTCTTAACTTTACAATATCAATCTTCTTACGCAGGTGATTGTTATTTTACAATTCGATAATACGCACTTGCGTCTGAGGGGAATTGACCAATATGTGGTTTAGATTCTAACTGACTATTGACGATCTTATTCCTCTGTTACTGGTGCTTATCCGTGGAGAAATCCAGGCGTATTTCACGATCCCGATCTCCACAGTTCACAATAGCATAGTCCTGTCAAAGTCGTAGTACTTCATATACTATTCAGACTTCATCCGATTGTCAGCAGTAGAGTTATTTCTAATGTTTCGAAAATAGTGCTGCCAAGCACGGAATACGAGACAACGGTTTTGTATGACATGTCAAATGTGGGATATACGTAAGGGTACTTCATACCTAGTACTTAAGATGGTCCAAGCGCGCCCACTGGTCCATCCCGACAGTTTGGCTCGGTTGATCTCCGCGCTAACCGTATTCGGCAAGGGATTTCACCAGTTGGCGGTTTGCGGCGCTGACGGGGGGCGCGCACCTGAAACGAAACGAGGCGCGGCAAGACATGGGGCTGAGGTACACAGTAGATCCTACGGCTCTTGCGACAACCTTTGATAGGTCGGGAACTGAGGCTGAGGCTATGTTAGGTACGCTGAGGCATGAGGAATAGCCTAGCTTTTAAAAAAGGAATGGCACCGTACCTCTTAATACCTAATGTCTATGGTAGAACTTTATCGGAATATCGGCAGCGAAAAATAGTCTTGGTCTTGGTTTTGGTCTTGGTCGCGTGCTCGAGATATAATTCGCAATGTCGCATTAACTACTACTACTACTAGGTTTAGATAGTTACCTGGATATCTCGCAGTTGCGCATTACATTAGGTACCTACATATAATACGCCGCCAAGCCAAAAAAAAAAAAAAGCCTCCCTCTCACCGAAATGATTCACTCACCGACAGGAACGCCTAAACGCGCATCGTTGTTGGAACGATGCTACCCAACCGGTTCGTGACGAGGTTATTTTAGTTTCGCATCTGCGATAGGCCAGTAACAGTACCACGGCACGCTTGACCCAGGTGCTCGGGTTCGCGTCTGTCGTCTGTTTGGTCGGTATAGGCGGGGAGGGGCAAAGGGGGGTGGAGTATGTGGGAAAGGGGTGATTATAGCCTATAGGGAGTATTTGCTTGTCACCGATGTGGGAATAGTTTCTAACTACCTAGGTAGATAGATAGATAGAAACAGCGCCGTGCATTTGATGTGTGAGGTAGGTAGGTATGCAACTGCATGCGTCCTGATGTTTGTATAATATGTACATGTAACTATGCTTGATATTGTTGTGTTAGCATAGATGCCCTATAATACATTAGGTACATACACATCGGCAACACAAGCACACACACACACATTACACTTGCAGATGTTGGGCGTGAAATCATAGGCTGATTTCTAACCCAGAAAGTTGGATCTCCCGATTACTTCCCTATCATCTTGCTCCGCGCTTTTCGACTTGCTGTCTTTGATACCCAAAGTTAAGTGATAACGGCCAGCATTCTCATCGCCTTGGATGACTTTGTACAATATCAACGCCTCGCTTTATCTGCATACATACATACATACATAATACGGAATCAGGTAGGCATACAGGTATACAGGTATACAATGTGCAACAAGAACAGCTCCATAACCTGCCAGGCTGATATGTAGGTATGTGCAATGAACCGCGTCATCTGTGTAAATCTCATCTCCCCACCCCCTTTCTCACCCCTATTCAGTTTACACAAGCACCAAGCATGTCTCGACCATCACTTCTTGGCCGGGAGGAATTACGCGTATATACACAGTCAACGTCAGCGCCCAGATGCTACACCGCATCTGCGGTAGCTTTCATTACCTTTGCGTTTTCCTCTTACCATTTTCCGTCCAACTACGCATATACATCTAAGGAGTAAGTATCTGCAATGCTTACATATCTGGGCGTGTATGTATCATCCCCGCCTCGACCTACGCCAGCCTGTACTGTTAGTCACGAGCTCTGATGCTTATACATTTACTGTCACGCGTGCATATGAATATACCAGAATATTCAAAATACCACTTATTGTAGTAGTGTCTTTAAAAATTATGAAAAATCATTCCGTATGGTTCTCATACTACATTACAGAGGTATGCCCGTCTGCTGACTAGCCAACAAATTCGTTGTATCTGCCCTCTGTCTGTATGCGCTGTTGTATGTAACTCAATGCATCAAATTGCAAATTCCTATACTCGGGAGTATCATGTCGTCCCGACCAAAGCGTCAAGGGTCAAGTGTCAAATATCCGCGCCGTTTTTGGGTTGTCCTATGCCCCATGTTCCGAATGCCGATAACCAGTAAAATCCATATGCTGTTCCCTGGGCCAATAAATGCCAGAACCCGATATTAGAGGAAAAAAGAGGAGAAAATCAAAACGTCATCCAGATGCAAGAGCCAAACTTCGCTGAAAATGGGAATGTCCATCCTGAGTACTAGTAAAGAAAAAAAGAAAGAAAAAACATCAAATAACCGCCACCTCTCCAAACGCTTCCATTCATCGTAGTCGATATAAGGCGGTCTCCCTGGAAAATTCGCTTTGCCATTTTGGCTCTCTCTTTGCTCCACGCCCAGTAAGTCCTTAATTTGACTTTGCATAATCCTGATTGGCTCGTCCCTCCCGATCGATATGTCCACGCTGAACAAGACTCGTAAAGGCGTTATTAGTATGACGCCACCGCTTGCGAGATCTCCGTCTTCATGACAGAAAGTCGCTCTCGCATATCTATCAGGTCCGCCAGTTTATCCTCCGGTGGCTCCTTTAGGGCCGCAATCTCGTAGTGCAACGCCTCGTATCGCTCGTAAAATCTCGTAAACTTCTTTGCCTTTATCAAGACATCAGGCGGCACGCGCGGCTTCTTGTTCGGAGCAGACTGCTGCGAGGAATACTGGTCGGCATCCCGTTCCTTGCGCTTCTTGGTCTGGTTCATGGCGGTAGAACTGCCATTTACCGCTCCGTTCGTAGTACGCTCCCCGTTACGGACCGGGGGCTTGAGCTGGCGCGGAGGCGGCTGATGGTCTTCGAGATCAGAGGCGTTCGTCGGTGGCGAGGAAGCAAGTGGCGATGACTTAGTGGGCGACGTATTCTTGCTTCTCATCGAGATACTCGAAGATGTCACACCCACGGGAGCATTTCTTGAGCTCTGGCTTGCGTCTGACGGGCGGTGCTTCAGATTCGTGACGTTGGACAACGGCTTAGGAGGCTCCCTCGGCTTGATTCGCTTGCTAAGCGGCGCCCCTGAGCTCGAGCTGCTATCATCGTCTTCACGTGGCCGTTTCTGAGAGGTCAAGCCGGAGGGTTTCACGGGAGCGCGGGGTGCTCGAACCACGGGCTTCGCTTTCGGTGGAGCAGGCTTCTCCTTGGGCTTCTCTACCACTCTCTCCACCGGTTTCTCCACTGGCTTCTCGATTCGCCTCTCAACAGGCCTCTCGGCGGGTTTCTCGATGGGCTTTTCAATAGATTTCTCCACAGGTTTCTCGGTAGGTTTCTTGATAGGTCTTTCGATAGGCTTCAACGATGATTGGTTCGAGCTAGCTCTCGATAGTGGCCTCTCATCCCCACTGCTTTCGGAGTCGATCACTTTCTCATCCGAAAGGAATTTCCTGCCCTTTTCTTCGGCTGGCTTGGGCTTGCTGGCCGGCTTTTTCGGAGCGGGTTTCTTAGGGTTGCTTGAGAATAAGCGCTTTGTCTGCGCTTCGCGTTCGCTGACCTTCTTCGTCTTGCTTCCTAGCGGTTGCGAATTGGATCGAGCCATAGCTTCGCCCTTTGCCTTGTTATCGACATCGCTCTTATTGCCATCATCCGTCTTCTTCATGCCAACCCGAGGGGTTGGGGTTACGTTTCCTTTCGCAAGAGTTGCCTGCAGCTTACTCAAAACGATACCCTTGCCCCGCTCAGAAGGAGTAAGCAATTTCTCCCACTCGACTGCAGATGTTGGAATGCGTGACTTGTCGTATTGCCTAATGGCATTGTCGATTGCTGCGCGGCGATCGTCCTCATTGCGATAGTCGTAGTTCCATACGTCCAGTTCTTTCCAGAACACCGGTCGCAGATTGTACTTCTTCGTCGAGGAGTCAAAATTGGCGATCTTCTCTACAGTTCGCTTAAGGTCTGCTTCGGCGCCCTTCCAAATCTCTGCGAGATATTCGTATGTTCGATCTCTCGACGCTAGTTCGTGAACAAGAATACTTCTTTGGTTCTTGTTCTTCTCGAGTAGCTGCTGCGAGGCGGAAAAGGCTGGGTTCGGCGAAGAAACCCCGTTGAGCGCGGGACTCGTCGGTAGTGATCTGGTGGAAGAGTTCGATAATGCGCCCGCCATAGCGGACCTTCCAGCAGGTAGAGGCTTGGGTTTAGTGACTCGTTTAGTGTCTTTGGTTTTGGCGTTGGTGGACCTGTTCGCCAGGATACTGGCAGGTGGCTTGCTGAGAATACACATGGTGGGATTTGGTAATCGTTGTGCTTTGCTTGCCGATTCTTCTGGTTTCGTGAGATACAAGTCGTAGTTGTATGACTGCGGATTTGTTTTGACTTTCTGTTCCCCCGAACCAAAGATTAAGCTCTGTAAATAGAGAGAATTATGTTAGTTTCAATAGTTAAGGTGTTGAAATTGAGAAAGCGTTCAAGTTTGTGTAGGTATGTGCACATGTTTTTTTTTTTGCTACCTGGGGCTGGTAAAGTGCGGGAAGGTGTTGCGCTGCGCACACCTGAGGTATTCAGGTAGAGGGCATTCAAAGTAACTGATTTGATGCACCTCACGACCATTTCCGCTTATCCAAAATAAAAATGGCAAGAACTAAAACAAAACTAAGTACAGCAGCAAACTTACAGGATTACTTCCTAGGGTCAATTCAACCTCTTGCCCCCCTTGTACACATTTTATCATGTCCTCGATCACGCTATCATTCAATGTGATGCCGAAGGCTTGCAACGGGAGGTATTCGTTCGAGGTTGCCGAGCTCTCCAAGAGGAGGCCGGCATCGGGAATTGCGAGGGCTGGCATGGCGAAATAGTTCGGTATAGGTCGACGATATGAGGAAGGGGTATGGGGAAAAGAATTGAGGATATCGGTATGCCGATACTACGAGGTTAAGTATTGACAATGATGGTATGCCGTATGGTTTTTGTCGAGGAGAGACACCTGCACAAGCTCACAAGCTCTGCACCTAGCTAGACTTTAAGAGTCCAACTTGACAATGACCCGACTTCTTATGCAGCTCCGTCACATGGCTTTATAGCTAAGATTTGAAGGAAAGGCCTTCCGAGGATACGAGGTCGAATGTGTAAGAGGACGAGACCAACAAGTGAGGTATGTCGACCAAGGACCAAGGACCAAGGACCAAGAACCAAGGACCAAGAACCAAGGACCAGTACGATTAGACCAAAGAAGAGGAAGAGTATGCGTTGTATGCTGTAGTATGAGGAGGAGAGGAAGAATGGGAAGTACGAGGTTGTACGGAATAGTCTTGTCGAATCTTGGTCAAGAGGAGAAACAAGGGAAAATGAAGGCACAGATGGATGGATGGATGGGATGGGGTGGGATGGTACTAGATGATACTAGAGGTACTTAGTAGTGGAGAATGACGGGGGTATTCCCAGGAAAGTACATATGTATAGAGTAGGTACCGCGCTTGCTTAGTTCATCCCGTCCGCTCCAGCCTACAATGGGCAGTAGTACTATGGCTACTGAGTGAAAGCTAAACCTTATTAGTAGAGTCACTTATTTCCCACTCAAAGAACTTAAGGTACCAAACTTTTACACTGTGAAAGAACCTGAATCACAAACACGGAAGAGAAAGGGTAACAATAGGGGTTCATTAGAAGAAAGAATTGCCAATTCACTAGGGAATTCGTGACACAGATTCTACAGCTTGGAAAGATGACAATTTGGGCACTACCTTCTTTCAATGCCTTTCTCTGCCTTCTTCTGCCTCTTTCGTAAAAAAGATGGTAGCTGGAATAAAAACCGAACGCCGACACAGCCCGGATATTACCTAGACAAGCTATTATTGGATAAGAGCGCTGACGGCACAGTAGGGCGAACGCTATGTTACAGCAGTTAATACAAAGGCGTTGTACCCCCAATTCCATGCCTCATGTCCCATGCCCCATGTCCCATGCGTTGCCATACATAGAAGATACTTTCAATGGTACTTCCAATGGGCTTGTGTGTGAGACAGGGGTTATGGATTTGCGGATGGACAGTTGCATGCATTTTCCCTTGGGCGGAACCTCGAGTTAGTACCAAAAAGTCTACATACGCAATGTAGTTTATGTACCGGTCCAGGTGCGCCCATCTACGCCAACTTACTACATAGGCATATTGTCTCTACAGACTACGTGTGTGATTCAATGGTTGAATCGTCGAGAATAACGTAGGTGTGTAGTCTTGGTCGTATGGTCGTGTGTGGTCGTGTCCTACTATACAGTGCTTCTATTGTACGTCGATACGATACCTATATACATACATGTCGCAGCAGCGTAACTAATGTGTGTTGCTGCGAGGGAGGATCTAACAGCCGAACGAACGTGGGTACCTGTTTGGATACGATCTCGCTCTCGATTGTTCCGTCGGTTTTCTCTACTTTGATACAAGGGGTAAAAAGTCTTCCTAAAGTTGCCAAGCCTTCTACGTCTTCGCAATGCGGGAATAGATGCGAGAATAGACAAACACGATGAACAACTATTCCTTCTAACTATACTCTTATGAATCATTGGCTAAGTTTACATAGTGCTGGTGACGAAACACACAGACGTACATAGCATCTGAGGCAAAATATAGTTCAGGCGGTACCTCTCTGCCTAGGAGAACCGAGAGCTCGTTAGCTCCCCGGGGCCTAAATTACATCATCCGGCTTGGGCCTTACCATAGTTTACCATAGTTAGAAAATAGTATTGCACCGGACTGCGGCTCACAATCGTGCCACTGAATCAGAAAGACGATGATGTGGTTAACAGACAAGCCAACTCATCACGGGTATCCATCTATCTTAAGTGATATATGACAGTTTTGGAAGAAAGTTCGGTGAATGTCCTCGTCATGAAGAAGTTTTGGTTTGGGTTGATTCATACGTGCGTACGTACGTAGACATGGCATTGCGAATGGTTGCAAATGAGTCGATAGGCAAGAGACAGGCAAACTATGCATCTTGCTTAGCTGTGCTTAGTTGTCAGGTCCCAAGTTCCCAAATACGAGGCGAAATAGAACGAAATAGGACATTCTATTATCCTGTGACATTGGTGTCCTTTCTTCGTTGGAAAATTCGCCCTGTGCATATGCAATGCCTAGGGACGTTCCTGGTTTTGCTGGGTCCTGCGTGTTAGAACGTGTAGATTGCCGGATATGTAACCAAACATATCTCAAGATTTTTAACATAGACAATTCATCGCTCAAGTGCTATGAATCATATGAATCACCTACGCAGGCATTGGTATGCGTTGGTCAGCAGATGGTAAAAAAATTATCTATTCTCTACGCCTAACGACGTCTAGACTGGGCTGACTATTTTCTCTAGGGCATCAAAACAATTACTTCCGTAGTGAGACCCTGAAAAAAGCTCTGTACAAATGAACGTAGCAGATATTAAGATTTCCCTGGGAATTGGATCAATGGACCCCAAAAAGGTTCGCCGGCGTGCTGACATGCAGGCTTTCGAATCCCGATTGGGTATGATATGTCATATGAAATGTTGTTGGAGCCAATCGAGAACGAGAACAACAGCTAAAATACATTAAAAAAGGCAATATAAATTTTACTGTAGGTACATTATGCTAAGATGTATGCTGATATGTGCTGATATGTCCCAGATCTGACTGAAACAAAAAAAAAAAAAAAAAAGGAGCCTATGCTCTGCAGCACTCTTTTTCTGTTCGACGTCTCCTCGGTGGCGGCGACTGTGCGTAGGTATGTATTGCCCAATCTTGACTGTACCCGTAGCTATCCTTGAACTGGAGCCGAATAGACGGGCACGCCGTGCGTCAAGATCGTCCCATCAACAGCACTCCACGCTTCGGGGGGCCCTTTGATGGTATTGTTACTTTGAAGAATTGCGAAGCCGTAAATAGAAAGTCCGCTTAACGCTTCTAGGGGAATAATCTAGAAAGATTATACTACATGACCATACGATTTTTTTTTCGTTGCTGGCGAAGACGGTGAGAGAAGAACAGGCGGCGATGGAACCGTTTACAGAAGGTTCAAGGAAACTTTCAGGTACGACGGGGGACAGCCCGTAAGAGGTAGCTGGGTACGTATTGTTCATGTACAAAGCTGGATAGCTCTCCACAGCAAGTCCACCAATGGATTGCGCTCCGGACCGGTCGGTGGGACTTGGATGGCACATATGGCACATACATAATAGCCTACCGAATCTTCAGACCCATTACGCGCGACGGATTCTGGCGTCCCTGACAAATCTCCTCTGACTCCGGACTGGACTATTTAAACCAATGCCTTTCTCAACGTACAATGACCAATTCATCAGAACCGGATATGATAGGAGAAGGATATTCACCAATACACCAATACGCTAATATACTAATACTACTATTACAACTAATAACATCAATATATGCGAAATTCCAAGCTCAGATCTAAGACGCAAGCGAGCCATATACATATGGTATTGGGTATGGTCTTGGCTAGCTAGTACCCTTTTAATGGTCCCCGTTTTATCAATCTGGTAATGGTACATTATCGGCGAGACCAAAAAGGGATGGTTCAAGCGAACATCTACGGTAGTACACTGCATAGGTATACCATACTATGATACTATGGTATGACACTAGGAAGTCAGTCAGTTAGTCAGTCAGTCATCGTCAGCCGTAATAATGCTGAGAATTAGAGTTCTCAGCAGCGAACTCGCATCATCTCGAGCCTGAAAGCGGTCAGTGAGTAAGCACGGCAACCTGGGACTCGGATAAACCGCAAAGTTCTACGGCTTAGCCTCGCCGATTTACTTCGCAAAATCCCTAAGCTTTTTCAGAGGCTAGCTGAGAGGCGTTGCGCCCTGACATCATTCAGCTGACATGAAAGCTTGATGGAGGGGGACTCGACCATATGCGTTAGTAACTATTACTAGATATTACAGAAATTAGAAATTCTCATATTTATCTCATATTTATTTATTACAATGATCATCATGACAAGTCTATAACTCTCAACAAGATGCATGTATGTATGTACCGCACGGTGCGATAGAAGCTACGTGCTACGTGCTACGTGCTACGACCTACGGCTCTCTCTCCCTCATCTCCTCGCTAGACACCTGCTGCAGGTCATCCACGCGAGAATCTGCACGGGCAAGAAGCGCCACGAGGGGCCGACGACCGAGAGGAATTGGAAATTCCGGCTGGGTAGGTAACATGGACGTGGCGTTCTGCCCCACACATCCTTTTCTGCTGCGTACCTACAATAGACGTGACTATGTAGGACTGACCTGACTTGACTGACTGTCCTTTCAGCTGCTTTTCTTGGGCCATATGTTATACGCTATATGCTATACATTATACATACACTATACACTATACACTACGCAAGCACATCGCGGCGTCCGCGGTTGACATATATGGTTGACTAACATACATAGAGTAAAACACACACATACACATACACACGCACTACACATAATAATAGTATCTTGTATAGACTCAATCACTGCATTCCACGTTATCCAAGAGCCTTCACTTTGCTATACACATCATCCGGGGAAAGGCAACCATGTCGTCACTCGTCATCAATATGCAGATTTACAAACCATCTATCTCACGGTGCCCGTCCGAAGAGGGCTAGTTGTTGCGTTGCATCGCAACAAACATCTGCGCTGGGAGGGATGGGTAGGGATGGTAGGGGGAGGGATTTGCCTGCCAGTTCACCTACGCACACACACATCCTTGCCATACGTCCAATTCGTCTGCGTACGGGGTCCTCAGACAGGCATCTTGTTAGATTTCAAGTTCATTAACTAAGCTTTTCCGTAAGTCCCTCACCTCGTACGCGCGAGGATTAAGGGTCCGAAGCCCGAGAAATTGGGATGGATGGCTAGGCTGTCAGTCAAACTTGTCAAGGTTGGGTGCTGAGATAATTGTTGGTATGGCTTGGTATTCCCCTCGTCGTGCCCAATTCCCCCGTCAGTACATACTACATGATAAGTTAGTTGTCCTTCCGAACGCTCGGTAAACTTAGGAAACTCGGGACAGAAAACCCGTCTCTATTCGGTCGACGCTTGGCTCTTAGTCGGGTAAGAAAGCGGACCTAAGAGGTATATGCTATTACATATGTGGCTAAGTTAGCACCTATCGAAAAGTCCAGTCCATAATATCTAGATTAGCAGCTTGGGGTTTCCGGGTCTTGGGTTACTACTAGTTAGTGCAATGCATCTCCAGGACAACCTGCTCTCTTTCACGCCGAATTCGAGTTAGTTAGTCAGTGACTGTGACGAGATATAGCTTCAAAATATATTACTAGGATTTCTCGTCCTAATGCGTTATACCTAGCAAGCAAGCAAGCATTTCATCTTGACGGCATTAATTAGACAGATAAAGCTGCCCGAGCTTCCCGCCCGCGGGCCAAGCAATACACTACATTATGTACATACATACATATACCAAGCATAATACATAAAGGGATGGGATGTCACAGGTGCTACCCCCATTCGACTCTGCGGAGTGACGGGTACCTAAGTAGGTAGATTAAAAACGAGCTATCATTGGACGCATCAACGTAGGTGGAAGAAAGCGGGTTGCGGGAATGCAAGCACTCGTCGAAGATTGTCCGAATGCCCCGCCGTCACATCCTCGATCCAACCCACTAGACCCGATAACTCCAGATGGGACAACTCCAGGGCTGGCACTTATGGCACTTATGCAACTTATGGGACTATGGGATTTTCCGACTTGCGGCCATTGGTATGAACGAGTGGGTGTTGTGGGAATAAGTAACTTACATAGGTTAGGTACATATGTATGTACTAACATAGTCGACGGACCGGGTTAATAGCATTGCTCTAGCAGCCAGCCAGCCATTTGTTCAGCCATTCAGCCATTCAGCCACGCCATTGCAACTTTCTCTGTTCGCAGTTTGTTTTAGTAACCAAGTTTGTTGCGATCCGTTGGCTTGGCTTGGCTCACTCAGCTTCGAATGACGTTTGCTTTCTCTAAACCAGCCATCTCAACGATAAAATAAAATTGGAAGAATGACGAATTACATACAATACTTTAGGTAAATAATAGGTAACTACCTAGAGTTAGTTATTTTCTAGGATATATACGTATACCAACGTACCTTTGCTTATGAAGCATTACTTACGATACTCGATTATTATAACTCGCAGTCTAGTCTCTCCGAGGGATGCACGCGCTCGTTCCGGTGTTAGCCCGCATTTCTTCAGCAAGGTCTCTGGTTACATCACAACACCCCCGTAGACCGGTGGGCGACCACGGATGGGCGGACGGAGGGGAAAAGGCTGGCTGGTGATTCGTTACATACATATTTAGTACATTGAACTTGACTGCATCTACGTACACTACATATATCGATGTAGGTACATGGTCGTATGAGCTATCTTCATGGGGTGAGGGTCAGTATAGTGGTAGATAGTGCGACACCGGGGAAAATGCGGTCCCTTTCCCTTTCCCTTTCCCACGGCATAGTACATAATGCAATGCAGGTGTATGGCGTATGGTGTATGTGTGTGTACTTGTACCACACCTTAATTAGTAACCGCGGATGTATAAGTCATCACCTCCTCGACCCAAACAAAACATCGTAATTTATTGCTTACGTAGTTCTCAAGACCCTAGCCCGGATTCGAAAAGCTTCTCGCCCATGTGACCACATTTCCAATGTACGAAGTTGTGTACCCGTGTCTACATAGATAGGTGAATCGTGATTGAATACCGTACGATGTTGTCGTCAGTAGACACAGTAAGTCTATATCATGTAAATATAATTCAACGATAGGTTTTCTCTAGCAGCTCGCATGATCTATCGAATTCAAGGTGGATTTAAATGTGGATATCATAATCGAATTGTCTTATCCATTGCCTACCTCGGTAGCTTTATATGATGGATAATATTCTTTGTCCTCATCCAAATAGTATTAGGTATCTAAAGCTAAATCCCTCCCGATAGAAGTGGCTGGTAGATAAAAAAGATAATAATAAAAATAGAGAGGGTTGAATTGACCCAGCTAGATTTCGGAAAGGCAGCTTGCGGAGCCGAATTGCGGAGTGCGGAACCGACGTGCCGCTTCAAGAGTATACATATCGCTTAAAATATTCAAATTACGAGTAGAAACTGAATTCTGGTGATCACTGTCACGGGCGTATTCCCCAAAGCTTACCTTATCTAAAGCAACATCTCTGAGTATATCACGGTTTGCTATTTAACTAAGCTATAACATACTTGACATCGCACGTTCTGCATTTTGCATATTCATCTTGTTTTCTCTATGAACAGTATTTTGCGTATGGCGATATACAGTGACCCATATCGATGCGGCGATCAATCTATCATAATTAGGGTATGCGTCACCATCTGATTCGTGCCCCCTAGAATTGTCTTCTTCGCAATTAAAGCAAACGCGAGCGCCTGCGCCACCAAGAGACTGAACCCCTAACAAAAACTAGTGGCTTAAACTGCAAGCCGCTACTCTACTGCGTCTTGAAGAGCAGGATGGCGCAGTGTCCTAAGTAGAAGTAGATGAAGTGCTTCGTTTCTAGGATTATGTTAGCTCGGAACATCAACTTATTTCTGCCCCCGTGCGTTGGAAATAAAGGCGACGTACCGTGAGTGACAAAGCTTCCGAAGTTCCTTCCTACGATGCAGTGCCAGGTCGGACCCTTTCGCTCGTCGAACTAGTAAGCTAATTTTAGTATTCCCGATGAAAAGAATCGTCGGCAAGTAGATCGTATGGATAGACGTACGGTACGCTTGATGTGCTGTGCAATGTCCTTCTCGATAGTGTATTTTCCCATAGCTTCCTGAGCTACTCTTGACGTTAGATTATGTATATTTATAGTCCCCTAAACAAAGACACATACCGACGTCGATTACCTCTTGCTGCATGTCTTCCGTCTGCGGTTCCGTGTTAGTTCTTTCCGAAGCCTTATTCATTTCTGGGCAGTTCTAACCATATCTGCAGACTTGATTTGGGCTATAGAGCGAGATATGTTAGCTAACTATGTATTCATAGCTATGCGCAGAAACGAGAAACGGACCTTCGAGTTTATCGCGGGTACCGGCCGGTGGGGGTGACTGTTGTTCCGCCATCTTGTCGGTTTATAGTGTCGGCTTCGTGGTAACTTGACTATTCTATGGTAAGTATGATGGTTAGTTGGTAAACATGGCTTTAGACGATAATGTTATGAGACGGATAGATTATTAGGAGCTAGAGTTAATATACGGTAAACATACCCAGGTCGAAGGCTTAATGGTCAGAAAAATGCGAGGATAGATTCCTACACTGTTTGTTATCGCAAAGGGGTTTCGGTATAAGCTTCACGATGTGATCTTATCGTGTCGGCGTTGAGGTTGTCGAATGCGTTACGAGGTGGGTGGTTTATGCCCAATTGTCGCGTGTTTGGCGACTTCAGAGGTCGACATGTAAATTGATGTAGCTATCATTACTATGTAATCATTGGTCCCTACGACTTGAGAATTAATTATTCCCTGTCGTTATCATTCCTCCTATTGGCCGATATATATGCACGAGCCACTATTACCAACAAATTTAAAGCCAAATTATGGATCGTGGGGCTGAAGAGCCTCAAGCGGGACGTTTGAACCACGTGATGATAAAAGATTTCTATCTCTGATACGCGATTTTGTAACTTTTTTTTTCTCTGCTTTTTTTTCGGTGTCCATCACTACCCTTCAACCATTCTTCAGGCGCTGCTAGGTGACCTCGTTCACAAGTCAAGGAATTGAAACGAATTCGACCTTTTTACTCTTATTTTTTTTTAATTGTCTCTATAGCCGTATTAGATACCCAATAATCATCATGGATTCATCAAGAATCTTCGTTAAAGGTCTGCCACCGAATCTCAACGAGGCCGACTTGCGCAAGCATTTCGCGTCCAAAGGTCACATCACAGACGTCAAGCTGATACCTCACCGAAGGATTGGATATGTTGGCTATAAGAGCCCGGAAGAAGCTGCTAATGCAGTCAAATACTTCAACCGTTCCTTTGTACGGATGTCTAAAATATTTGTCGAGTTAGCAAAACCCGTTAGTACCTTCAGTACAATACCAGTCCGCATTGGCTTAACACTTCTTGCAGATAGCAGATCCTTCCTTGTCTAAGTTCAAAGAAAGAAGGAACAAAACAATCCCTAATACGGGAGTCTCTCAGGCGACTGTCATGCCGTCTGCGGAGTCGGAATCGCAACCCGAGAACTCAAAAAAGAGGAAGCGGGATGAGGTTAACGAGTCTGACCCGAAACTACAAGAGTTTTTAAATGTTATGCAACCTGCAAAGACTTCAACAAGCAAGATACATGGTGTTGTTACGGATCTTGTAGATGAACCTCCTGCAAAATATGCTGCACTTGTTGAAGAGGGGGCATCTGATGACGAATACGAGGTTGTACCAAGCCGACGAAAGAAGAGCCAACCTTTGGAAAATGCAAAGCCGGTGGTACCAATTGTAAGCGTTGCAAACGGTGGGGCAGATGGCCAACCCCAAACAGAGCCCGATATAGTCGAGGAACCTCGAGAGGAAGCGGTGCCCACTGCTACTAGTGTTGTTGAGACTACACCGGGTGCGACTGCTACAGACGACGACTGGTTACGATCACGGACGAACAGGTTGCTTGACCTGGTCGACGATGAAGATATCGTGCCTACCACTGTCCCACTTGAAAACCAGCCATCTGTACCACCAGTCCAGGAGCAAGAACCTGAGGTTGTTGATGCTACTCTTGACGAGGATCAGGTTATGAAAGACCCAACTCCTCAACCGGACGAAGACGAACCTGATACAGAAACCAAAATCGATACCCTAGACACAGTTCGTAAGACCAAGAGGTTATTCGTTCGAAACCTGCCGTATTCTGCTACCGAAGACGAGCTTAGGTCGTATTTTGAGCGATTCGGTGACGTTGAAGAGGTAAGCCTTTCCCAGTAATTTATCCTTTTTTTCTTCTTGGTTCTATGATGAACCCCAGATAGGGACAGCTGATACCAATGGTATCTGATGAGAAGCCTGGGCCAGTATTTTAGTAGATGCTTGGTGTCTGAGAACCATCCCTTCTTCATTAGTTTTTTCGTGTTAGCTACCTTCCATTCCTGCTAAAATGAAGACAGGTACATGTGCCGATGGAAAACTCGGCCAACAATCGCGGAATTGGCTTTGTTCTGTTTGCTAACTCAGACGATGCGACAAAAGCATTCCAAACAGATCACTCTTCTTTTCAGGGGCGAATATTGCATGTTCTCCCAGCATCAGCGAAACGTGATCACAATCTTGATGAGTTCGCACTGTCAAAGTTGCCATTGAAACAGCAGAATATTATTAAGAAAAGAGCCAAGGCAGCAGAATCGAGATTTAACTGGAATTCACTTTTCATGAGCCAAGATGCCGTAAACACATCAGTTGCCGATCGTCTGGGAATCTCAAAGGCGGAATTGCTTGACCCAACTAGTTCTGACGCAGCTGTGAAGCAGGCGATAGCAGAGACATCGACGATTCAAGACACTAAGGCTTACTTCGTAGCCAACGGTGTCGATCTAAACGCATTCAAATCAGGCCCTCGGGGTGACACAGCCATCCTAGTCAAGAATTTCTCTTACGGTACTACAATCGAGGAGATCAGAACCCTCTTTGAGGAACATGGTCAAGTTTTGAAAGTACTCATGCCGCCGACGGGGACAATTGCTATTGTCCAATTCGCGCAGGCCCCTCAGGCTAAGGTTGCTTTCGCCAAGTTAGCATACCGTCGATTTAAGGACTCAATATTATTCCTTGAGAAAGCACCAAAGAACTTATTCGTGGGTAAAGAACCACAACCTGAAACGGCGCAGACCAGCAAAGAGCCCAGTGCTGTACAGAAGCTGTCTGGGTCTGAGCTACTAGAACAGGAAACCCAGGAACCTGTCGAGTCAAGCTCGCTGTTTGTGAAGAATCTCCATTGGGATACCACTACCGAGGAGCTTGCAAATGAGTTTAAGCATCTTGAAGGATTCAGGTCGGCCCAAGTGAAGACAAAGAAGGATCCTAAGAAGCCTGGCCAAGTGCTTAGCATGGGGTTCGGGTTTGTCTCATTTTCCGACAAGAAAACTGCCGAGGCAGCCTTAAAGATTATGGACGGCTATGTCCTCAGAGCACACAAGCTTCAAGTTAGGGCTTCGCATCGCGGACGTGACGCAGCCGAGGAGCGAAGACAGGAGGACAATGCGAAGAAGGCCGCAAATCAAAGAACAAAGATCGTGATAAAGAACGTCCCCTTCCAAGCTAACAAAAAGGATATCCGGATGCTCCTAAGCACGTATGGCCAGCTCAAATCAGTCCGTATACCTAAAAAGTTTAATTCTACCAGTAAAGGGTTCGCCTTCGCCGAGTTCGTCTCGCCGAAGGAGGCGGAGTCGGCGCTGCTTGCCCTACAAGACACCCATCTATTAGGTCGTAGACTCATTCTTCAATACGCAGAAGCAGAAGCGATTGATCCTGAGGAGGAGATCGCAAAGATGCAAAGGAAAGTTGGCGGCCAAGCTAGTAAAATGGCCCTGCAACAACTTACAGGGGCAGGCCGTAAACGGATAAACCTAGGAGGTGACGAAGACGAAGGGGAGATCTAACGAGTAATTAAATGTGTCTATATTTCCGATTTCGTGCCTGACTATGCCTCTGGGGCTCTGGAGGGGTGTAGACATTGCCACGTTGGGAGCTAGGGACAATGGTTCATTGCGTTATCCCTTGTCAGGGAGAGGCACCCATTGCTGGATCTGGGGCCACTTCCTTATCCCAGGGGTTTGGCATCACAACTAGCTTGCAGATTCATCCCCCCATTCAAGTGGCTTTTGTAACCCCTCCCGATTGAATCTCTATCGGTCCTAGACTTGATGATCCTATATGGGTATGTTAATCAAAACACATTCCCCCCCGCAAAGTTTACTATAACCGCCCTATCATTACCGGCCCGAGACTGGTTAGAGAGCTACAGAATTGGAAATTAATGCATTCCCGTGGTGAGTCTATTGCAGTTTACTCCTTATCATCTTGATATGATTCTCCTTGCGTGCCAGCAGCATGCGACTCTTGTCAAAGACGTCACCTGCTTATCGCGACCTCATTGGTCGTGGAGTGTGTACTATGCGCAGCATATTCTTGACGACGCCCTTGAAACCTCCTAGTGGGTGTTTCTAGGGTCTTGTGCTCCTCCAGGGCACCTTTATTGTTATCCTCCTAGATAGCCAAATAGCAGAAGTCGAATGAATGTAATTTCTATAAGATATGGCGATCATCTCTTCCATGCCAACACTCGAGTCCAGGAAAACTATCTCTAGTCGTAATAGTAATGGGCATTCTCTTTGCCGCTGCCATTCCTTTAAACATATCTTAATTCTGCCTCCCAGCGTTCTTGAGCTCTCCCCAAGCATTCTCTAGAATTCTCGCTCTTTTTACAACACATTCTTTTGGTCTTTCGTCATACACATCCAAATGGATCATCCACGGCCTGTCCTGCCATCTCAGAGATACTCCCCAGTATCAGACTACGCATACGAGACGGATCACGAACTAATTCCGATGACACGACAGCCTCTTGGTGAATCCACGGGCAACGTTCAACCACATAATCTCGCTGCTCTGGCGCTGTGTAATCACTCCTTGTCACCATCTCTGCGTTCTATACCAACACCACCTATAGTCCCAACACAGGCTTTGACCTCGACCTATGGGACAAGCCTTCGAGGCGGACGTTCTTTACACCGAGATGTGTCATTACGAGAGTCACCAATGGGTTATCCGAGGGGTAGCAAGAACCCCATCTACGCTTATAAGCACTTCGCCGATTATCGTAATAAAGTAATGCAAAAAGAGCTCGAGAAGGAACAACCGATATGGCCATTATGGTTGGAGGATGCTTTCCTCGATGGTAAGAAACACTAACTCGGAAGTTCTAGAAAGATTTGTACTAACTCTCAAAAGCTCTTCTTTTAATCCCACAGATGGGCCGGAAAAAATTCAGCTCAAAGACCATCCTATACGGGCGTAATATGCTCATCACAGAATATCTATGGATCTACCACTGGCTTCTACATCCCCCACAGAACGGAGAAGCCATCCCAAACAGACAGCAGAGGGAGAAGGATCCGAACGGAAAACCTCATCCTATGTACAGGGGACGAAAGCAAGTATCAAGCCACATCCAAGTTTTGAAGGGCTTCTTCGCAACGTTGGTCACTTGTGAGTAACTATACCTAAAGCTACCGAGTGTTAAGATAACTAACACTATCTCCAAGTCCACTTTATCTTCCCAAGTAAGAAAGATGCCAAGGAAGAGGATAGAAAGCTAATAAGGGACGACGACGACACGGAATCCTTCAAGAACAACCGAGTACTCATTTCTATAGCCGACGGCCGACTTCCGGACGAACGGCCAAACTATGAATATTTCGCTCGCCTCCTGAGTGCGGATAACGATGTCTTCCTGCGACCAAAGCAATGCTGGATCTTTGTCTCATCATCT